AATTTCTTAAGCTTGTATTTCCTCAAATCAATTATTTCTTCCTATTTCGCGCACACCAACATGAGTATTCTCTCTGTTATCAGGAAAACGACGCGGATCCGGAATTCGCCAGGAGAGTAAAGGGCAGGATAGAGAAAACAACTTTAGGCGAAGTTACAGAATACATCGAAGAAGTCTATCTACCAGACGATTGCTTTTTATTAATCAAGTTAGACGTCGATAGGATAAAGTTATTGAAACTAGAAGTCGACGTCAACTCCATATGCTATTCGTAAGTGTATCAATTCAACATTACTAAACCTGTGACTTCATTTCACATTATATTTTACATAGAATTTTGACTTCACGGTTGAAGTTGAATCCAAAATTGGTAAGCGTCAAAGGAGATTCTATCATCAGTGTATCTCCAGGCAAGGGTAAATACAGTTTAAACTATGCGTTGACGCAGTTGAAAGAAACGATTCCGAACATCGTCATCAAGGTAAAGTGAACGAAATCGTTTAACGTTGAATTATATTTCAGTTTTTACATCGACGAAATTTCCAGGGTTTGCCGACAGTTTCGAGAGCTATAATTCACAACGACGATTCGAGTGGGAAAACGAGGTACAAGTTGTTCGTAGAAGGGGATAATATGCGAGAAGTGATGGCTACTCTCGGGATACTTGGAAACAAAACCACTTCGAACAATACAATCGAGGTAATTAATTACACGATTGAAATACTTGCGAAATTACTAACACGACTTTTATTTAAGGTCTTCAAAACGTTAGGAATCGAAGCTGCGAGAGCTACTATAATGACAGAAATAAAGCTAGTAATGGAAAATCATGGGATGAGCATCGATCGCAGGCATCCGATGCTCGTAGCTGATTTAATGACGAGCAGGGGAGAAGTGTTGGGAATTACTAGGCAGGGTTTAGCCAAGATGAAGGAATCCGTCTTAAATCTGGCCTCGGTAATTAATACACTTGTTTTCCAGTTACTTTCTAAAAGGAATATTTAATAAACGATTGTTTGACAGTTCGAGAAAACTGCGGATCACCTGTTCGACGCGGCTTACTATGGACAGAAGGACGTGATTTGCGGCGTTTCGGAGTCGATCATCATGGGTATCCCAGTTCCCGTGGGAACGGGGATATTCAAACTACTTCACAAATATCCTTTTCGATCTTATTTCTTTAACAAGACTAATTCGACTACAATTTCTTCGTTATTTTCCTTATTAATTAAATACAGCTGACAAGGACGAAGTGGTCAAGAGAGATTTAATATTCGACGACCCGCAGTTTCACAAGAAGATGAACAAGGATATAGCGTAATTATTGACTATTTTTTTATAGAATAAAACGAAAGACTGTATGTAAATAATAAAAAGATTTTTGTAAATCGTGGCCTCCTTTTCGCATACGATACTTTTTAATATTGTTGCTGCCTGTACAGTTGCTAAGAGACACGTTTGATCTATATTTTACGATGTACACGTCGCGCTCACTGTAATCTGAAAATGAATCCGGCTTTCGAATGAATAAAATTACGGAACGAGCTCTGGAACATTTCAATCGAACAACTGAAGCGTTAGACCGTTGAGAGATGGTAAATGAAACGGAGTTCTGGGATGAAATACGGAAAGATATACCGCGATACAAAAAGAGGAAACCGCGAGTCGTTCCTGCGTTCACCATTCAAGCTTTGCAGGTAAAATCGAGATTTCTATTATTGTGAAATCAATGAATATATAAAATCGTGATGCGAACAGGAGAACACGGTAGTGGAAAAGCCTCCGAAGGTCGGCTTGTACAAACCTCAGCCACCGAAGCCGTCGACCTTCCGGAAATTCTACGACTGGGGAGTTTTCCCGATCGCGTTGGAAAAGGACAGTTATGGAACGAAACTCAGTTGGAAAGTGAAGATCGAGGACCTCGATTTCCACCATTATTTGCCACTGTTTTACGACGGCTTGACGGAGACCGAGCAACCGTTTAAATTCATAGTGGAACAAGGCATATCCGACATGCTGGAACACGGCGGTCCCAAGATTTTACCCGTCGTGCCGCAGTTAATAATTCCGATCAAAAGTAATTTCTTAAATTATCTACGCGAATAGTTAGACTCTGGGATATTTTAAAAAAAGAGAATCGGTATTGTAGAAGCTTTGAACACGAAGATGCCGGAGATTCTATGCACGACTCTGAGAGCTATGCAGAATCTCGTGCGTTCGGCGGACTGCGTGGGCGAGGCTCTGGTTCCGTACTTCAGACAGATTTTACCCGTGCTGAATTTATTAAAAGACAGGAACGGTTAGTAATTCTAAATTATAATTACTCGGGACGATGGTGATTTGGAATCGGATTTCAGTGAATCTCGGAGGAGCCATCGACTACGCGCAACAGAAAGGTGAGAACGTCTCAGACGTGATACAAGAGACTTTAGAAATGCTCGAGATATACGGAGGTGAGGATGCTTTTATAAATATCAAGTACATGATCCCTACGTACGAATCGTGTATGATGAATTAAGTAAACGAGTAACTGTCCTTTGGTCCTTAGCACAAGTTATAAAAATACCCAAGTATACAATAAATAACAGAATATAATATCTTGAACACTATTGTTATTTATAAATTGTATAAAAATTGTATGAAACGTGTTCACATTTTCCCAGCGTCTTCGTTCAACGTTACCGTTCTGTTAAAAACCAGCTGTAATAGACGAACGAAATTAGTATTAACGATAACTATTTACATCGTGTCACTATTACCTTTTTTGGTGTAGAGTCGGGATCGACGGAGAAGAAGCCGATACGTTCGAACTGAAATTTATCGAACGATTTCGCAGAATCTCCTAAGCTCTCGTCGATGTATCCCACGATCTCCTTTTTACTCAGTGGATTGATATCGCTTAGAAAACCGTTCGGTACTTCGTTAGGATCCTCAGGATTTTTATGTTTAAATCTGCATCGAACAAAATGAATGAATGAATGAATATCAAACGAATATTAATAATCGACGTTTTGATACTAACAGGCGTTCGTATAATCTGATGGAAGCCAGCACAGGATTCGACACCCAGTGTATAAAAGCCTTCGGTTTGTTGCTGTCGGAAATCGACTCTTGTTTAACAATTACGTTCACGATATTCCCAGCGTTATCCTTCTCTATTTCTTTGACTGTTAAAACTACGCCCACGTATTTTAAGCCGACTGACTGGTTCAGTGTTAAACGTCTGAAGTCTTTCTCCGCTGTCTGTAAATCGACGGTCAATTAATATCCGCTCCGATTGGAACACCTTTTCATCTAATTACCTCTTTGAAGTCGGACGACTCAATGTACAAAACTTCATCGAACACTACATCGTGTTGCCCTTTATCAGGTTCGTTAGGAAAATTACAGACTGATACTTTTACACGATTCTCATGAGGGAAATTGCTAATGGTTATTTTCAGTGGTTCTAAAACTGCCATATGTCGGCTGGCAGTTTGATTTAAAACGTCCCGCACGGACGCCTCCAGGGTGTTCGGATGAACGACCGCCTGGGCGCCCGTCACACCCATCTGTGCGCAGAAATTGTTTATAGCTTCCGCTGGGAAACCTCTTCTCCTCAAAGCGGTCAACGTGAACAATCTGCAAAAATAGTTGCGACGTATTGCTGATACATAAAGTGTTCTTCGAGGCTGTGTACCTTGGATCGTCCCAGTCGGAAACGATTCCCTCCTCGATCAGTTTACTGATTTTCCTCTTGGAAACGACGGTGTAGCTGACGTTCAATCTACCGTACTCCCACTGTACCGGGCAATAAATGTCCAACGCGTTGCACAGCCAGTAATACGAAGATCTCCTCGATTGAAACTCTTTGGTGCAAAGGGAATGAGTTATGTGCTCGATGCTGTCGCACAGGCAGTGCGTGAAATCGTAAGTCGGATAGATGCACCATCGGTCTCCCGTCCTGTGATGCGGAGTATATTTTATTCTGTAAGCGACCGGGTCTTGTTTTCCTTCCTCCAAGGTCACTTTCATTCTCAACGTGGCTTCGCCTTCTTCGAGCAGTCCGTCTTTCATGTTCTGTGTACAAAAACTGACTGAGGTTCTGCAGAACGTGGAAGAATCGTCGACGAATAATTACCTTGAACAGTTGCAGGCTCTCGGAAACGGGCCTGTCGCGCCAAGGACTCGGAGGAGGATTGAAACCTTTCATTTCTTCGCTAGACTGATGACACACATAAGCTAAACCTTTCTCTATCAGTACTATCGCCCAGTCGTACAATTGTGGGAAGTAATCGGAAGAGTGAGTGATATCAGTCGGCTTGTAACCGAGCCACTCTACCATCTCACGTATTCCAACGAAGAATTTCTCTTCCTCTTTCTCAGGGTTCGTGTCGTCGTAACGTAAGAAGCATATCCCGTCGTGAGCCGCTGCGTACCTAAAAATTCCCTCGATTATCCGAAGAATGTTATTGAGATTCGAAGACATACCCGAAGTTAATGTTGATCGCCTTCGCATGGCCGATGTGCAAAATTCCATTGGGTTCCGGTGGGAATCTGGTTCTCACTTTGCCCCCCGTTATCTTCAAATGCTGTTCGAGCAATTTATGAGTATTCGGAGTTACTATATACCCTTCGGTCTTGTAATTTTCTCCCGGTTTGTGAAAATGCACTTTGGTTTTCATCAATTCGCTTATCGTCTGTGCTCCCACTTTCTCGCTCGCTGCCGATACGTTCTTCTGTTGTACTGAAAGAACACGCGTGAGTATTCCAACGATCGGAAGACAGTTTTTTTACTCAGCTACCTTTCTCTTTCACAGGCTTTTTAACTTTCCCTTGTTTCGACGGTTTAGGAGGTGGTGCGAGATCGGCCGCAGACTTCGGACCCAACAAGTCTAACATTTGAACGTCGAACTCGTTCTTCACTGCCTTCCCGTCTGCCCACTTTAAAGTGTTACGAACTTGTTGCATCAGAGGACCGACGTTGAAATGATACCTGTTCAAATTCTAAGTTTATTATAATCCATAGAATTTATTATATCGCGAATTATCGATACCTCTTCTCAACGATCTCTGCTCTGTGCTCGTTTATCACTTTCTCTACTTCGGATTCTATTTCTTCCGGCGAAATTACGATCCCTACTCCACATTCCCTCTCGAAGCTAGGCAGGTCGATCTCTTCGTTAATGTGACTGAGTAGATAGTTCAATGCAACGTCTACTCTTTGAGTTGTGTCCAACCTTTTATCTGCTACATACTTAGAAATGAATGGTAATTTCTCCGAGATCTGATTCTTGATCTTAGATGCGAGGTGATACAATAAAATTCCAGTTTCTGATGTGACAGTGCCATGCTTGCTGGCCTATAAACGAGACATATGGTATGATTAATTTCTGACATAGAGGTTAGAGATTTTTATACGAGATTAAATATTCATTGTAGTTTTAAATAGCAGTCTCTATTATCGTTTAAACATCTGTTTTCAATGTCTTTTACGGTTTATACGACGCATACAGTGTTTCGATATTCTTTGCAATGTAAGTACATAAAATTTGAAGTCTATTTAAATAACAGGTGAAGCATGAGGGGAAAAATTGATAGAATTATTGAATTTGTATTAAAAATGTTACTTCGTTTGTCAAATTAAAAAGAAACACGTGTATCGAGATCATATTAAAGTCTTTCTAACCTCAACTATAGCGAGCTTCAAATTGCTGGAAACTTGTTTGTTTTTCAGTGTTTCCTTCGCCTTCTGTTCACTTAGACCGATCGATTGAAACAACTTTGTATCGTCGTCCGATTCCATTGTCATTTCGGTACTTTAAATAAATGGTTTAAATAAAATTCCCTCAATTCGAAACCGGAGGATTACAACACGGTGCAAGTCGTTTGCCAGCCACGTTAGAAGGAGCGGTTCGCTTGTCAGTCAGCCATGTGACTTCGAACGAAGCGGATGGGTTCTGTCGTTCAGTCATTAAAATCAGTTCACTGCGAAGAGGAATATCATCTTCCTTTACATCCTTACCTTCCCTGACGAGTTCTGCTTCTTCAGCGTTAAAAGGAGACCTCCAGGCTTTTATGTCGAGGTGCATGATCAGGTGCAAGCGTTTTATTTCATTGTACATTACTTATAAGTAGTCTTCAGTGAAATCGTACTCATATCAGATTTTTGTACTTTGTAAATTGTTTAACTCCTGCCAACTCATATTCTCCTAATACAAAGTCGATTTCCAAGCCAAATATTTCTCTAACATCGGACTTTGTATCAGGAAAATATAACGTGATAGGAGGTAGCACTAACTCCTCGTGTGACGTCACGATTCCAAGAATTTCGTCTTATTTCTACTTATATTAAATGAAAATGACATGGAGAAGGGATTGGATGTCGGTAGAGTTATAGGTTAGGCACGAGACGTTTTAATTTTGTTTAAACTATTTCTTTATTAATTAAACTTTAAGAGATGCACAATAATTCACAAAGAGGATTGTTTACAAATTTATAACTGTTAATTATAAATAAATAATAATTTACAAAGAGGATTTCTTATAAATATGTAACTGTTAATTGTAAATAANAGGCGAATATAAAGTGATAGGAGGTTCCACTAACTCCTCGTGTGACGTCAGCAACAGGAGTTAGTGGTGCTTCCTTTGATTCATATTCTCCTAATATGAGAAGCGTGATTGGTTAGAAATACAAAATGGCCAACGAAGTGAAGCGTCCGCGATTATATTCTGATTGGTTAGAAATCCAAAATGGCCAACGAATGGAATCGTCCGTGATTGGTTGTTCAAATGGATGCACGGCGTATACGCTGTTGCTGACGTCACACGAGGAGTTAGTGGAACCTCCTATCACTTTATATTCGCCTAGTACAAAGTGTATATTTCGAGCCGATTCCGCTAGATGGCGCCACGAGCGCCTCGCAACATCACGTGACGTTAGTATAAGAAAAGACTGTTCTTGTTTTTAACAATTACAAGTTTAAGTTATCGCGTGCATTCTGTATTTTCTTAGTTTCCCTTCGATTCCCAAGATCTCAATTGTTAATATAAGTGAATGACGTTACCGAATAATACGAGATATTGTAATTGAATGAACAATTTTACGAGTAACGTGAATAATCATTGAGAAATGTCTGACAGCGAAGACGACGATTTGCAATTGTGCCCTGCGACCCTCGCAGCTCTAAACGAATTTCTTTTAGAAAAAGAAGAGAAGGAAAATCGATTGAAACAAAGTCTGGAAAGTGAAAGTCTCGACGTTTCCTTCGACGAAAATTGGGTAACGTGATTTCTCAAAGCTAGCATCGTTGCTAAACGCCGTCGTTGAGTGCCAACTATTTAATTACTCCAGCAATTGAGCCAGTTTTGGTATGACAACGAGACGACCGATGCTCTGGTAAGAGGAGCTATTAAATCCACGGAATCTGATGGGAGAATCGCTCTAATTTCATGTCCTACGCTTTACAACAAATTGAAAAAGAATTGTGGTAATAGAAAAGGTATGGAAACATTCTTAACTGTGCTAATCACAATATTAATCGTCGTCTTTCGTTTCAGTTACCCTCTTTGAATACGACGAACGTTTCAAGGTATATGGCTCTGATTTTGTACCGTACAACTACAAATTTCCTTTGGACGTACCTCGAGACTTGTCGAACACGTTCGATTTGGTGATAGCCGATCCACCGTTTCTTTCTGACGAGTGCCTGACGAAAACTGCTCTTACGATCAAGCTTCTGGCTAAGAGGAACATCGTCCTCTGCACTGGTACGTTTCTCTTCGACTTCCTCCACTCTTGTTTCAGCTGAACTTCTGTTTAGATGTTTGTTTTACAGGTTCTGTCATGAAGGAATTGGCCGAGAGACTGTTGGACCTGAAGACTTGTCGTTTTCTACCTAAACATCAAAACAATCTGGCAAACGAATTTTATTGTTATTCCAATTTCGACTTCGATCGAATGTTGAAGAAGGAGGATGAAACGTTATGACATAGGAACTTTATTCATAGGTTTAAAATTTTGTATTTGTTATAAAATAAAGAAAACCAGAATTGTACATATTCAAACATATTTTTTGTATATTCGTTTAATCACTTACAGAAATCCCCGAATGGCTGATTCCTTTCCATTTCCAAGCCTGACTACGGAGTTTCCCCTCAAGAAAGTACATGGAAGTCCCGAATAAAATGTCTAAAGCGATCGTAATCTTGCTCTCCTCGTGGATCTCTATATAGACGAAGCTGATCGATCAAGATCAGTCGTCAAGAAACCACGAGAGCGAGACTCTTCAAAACATTTGTTAAAAATAGACGCGAAGAGAGGATATAATTTTCAAATTATCAATCTGTTAGTCAATCAGTTCGTGTGTATTAAAATAATTCTATTTATTCATTTAAAAGATTTATTATAAATAATATACAGCAAAGCTTTCACTGAATTTCGGGTCACCGATGCAACGATTTGTAACACTTTGGAAGATGTTCATTGGAATATTCTTGTTGGTGAGAGTCTCAACTATTTATTATCGATGAAATATGAAATTCTAATACGTACAATCGTGTTTAGTTAAACATACGATCGTGCTATATTCATAGATAAGATTATAAAACTTTATCTCAATCATTCCTAAATTAGAGTGGTACCGATTGTTTCCTTATCGAAAATTTCACGCGCGATGAACCGACGTAATTAATTAGATCGACGCGTCTTGAATCCTCTATTAATTAATACTTCTTGCAGGTAGCGTTTTTAAAATTGAACGGATCGTGTAACGCGGTGGCAACTGGCAATGTTTCAGGTACCACACGTTCAACGGAATTTCAGCTTGTCAATTTATTTTTAATACAATTGTTTTTCAGTCGTCAGATCTACGAGATGCATGCACAAAACTTTCTGTGAAAATGTAACTCACTATCCTACTGATATGGTGCAGGAGGCGGTGAAGAAGCACCCTCACCTTCGCGATTACGCGAGCATCCAAGTATTTATTAATTACTCTAATTATTATTCGATGCTCGATTAATTATTAATTTAATTAAACAGACAGATGGGCAGGTGGACGTGGATGAGGTGGCACCGGAGGAAGAGTCACTCTGCATCGCCACGGTAAAATAAATGAGAAACTACTAAATGATTCTAAGAACTCGATATATACTTTTAATCATTGCAGGAACAAATTGTGTATCCTAAATATGGCGTAACGAAGAATTCCGAATGGAAGTACATAATAAATCACGAGGAGGTCCAGCAGAGCGTGCACGTCGAGATATGCCGGTAAACTTTTACGAATGCTCCTCACGATTATTTTAGAATAGAGAGAGAAACGACGAATTATGTTACAGAGAGGAGGGCAAGCCTTGCAGAGTGATAGAAGGATTCGCCGAAGGGTATTACACGAAATGCAAGCAGAAGTACATATACCGTCAACTTCTGTCCCTGACGGAGAACGGCTCGATTACTCTCGAGTTTTTCCAGTTCCCAGCGAGTTGCTGCTGCCACGTAGAATTTCGGGCTTACAAATTATTGAGTCAGTTTGACGATCGCTTGTAATCAAATAAGAGCGTAGTATATGTAACGAGAATTGTTCCAGTGTAACGTGGACGTCAAATAAACATCGGCCCATGCAAAGGTTTTCGTCCAAGTGTCCCCAGAGAAAAATAGAAAAGAATAAGGCATCGACTCCGTGGGAACGTATTTAGTGCGCTATTTGATGCAATCATACTGTCGACTTTCATACAATGTCCACTGTTCGACCGGATGCGAATAATGACAGAATTCCTCCGATCTGCTCGCTTTCTATTCAAAGTTCTTCGGGTCAAAAATGAATTATTAATTCAGATTTCGATCTTTGAAAATGCATGCGCAGCGTGAAAAGTAAACGGAGTCTGAGAAACGTTCTTAGATTATAAATCGAGATGACGCTGCGAGTTTTAATTACCGTAAATTTTAATAACCGGAGGAAAAGTATGATTAAGTAAATGCAGATTCGCGGGTCTCTGCTTAGAAACGTCGTGTGCGTTGAATTTTGGCAAAAGGGAATGGGCAGCCGGCGAAGGGTGGGAGTCGGTATAAAGAGAGGAAATACTCGATGGCGATGGCCAGTGAGTTCAGTGAGAGTGCCGCGATCCTTTTACCGATCCACCGTGAAAGTCGACGATGAAGGTACGAACAGGCATCGTCGTGAATCGATTTCCGAATCCCGTGACAAATTCCACATCATTTATCGAAACGCTCCTTTTAAAAAAATTCCACCGAGGATCCTCCGAGATTCGTACAATGAAATTCGACGAGAGGATCTCGCGATAGGATCGACGCTCGCGTGAAAGTAAAATCTGAGTAGGCGCGTGACAATGGGAAAAGCGTGGTCTTCCCTTGATCTTTGCGCGGAAGGTAAAAGTGTGAACCATTGCCATTGCCAAGCGGTCGTTCACCCGCGATCGCAAAAAATTCTCTCCGCCACCGGGCCGTTCAACTTGGAAGAGCGACGCAAATTGTATAGACGAGATGAAACAGAATTCGAATTATTCATGAGATTCCGCAAACGAGACTAACTCGTCGGTCCATCGTAGAAAGTAGCGTTATCAAACGTATGAAAGTTCGTCAATATTAATTTTCGGTGCAAACCGCGGAAGTGACTTTCTTCGAACGGCGCGCCTTTCTTTCGAAAGGATCCGACGTTCGTATAATGATACTCGCGTTTTAGAAATCGGCGAGTGCAACGCGTTCGTAAACTGGGTCAGCCGTCGACGGCTACCAAGTGCAAGACCAAGGACGTTTCCATCACTTTCGTCCGACCATCGCATTCTACCGCTCACATACGAATAACAACATACAACCCCGACACGTTTCACCGCGCATTTTTTTAGTACAAATCCATATTTCCGCAATTCTGTATTTACGTAAAAACCGGCTGCAGCATTTTTGTTTCGACTGCACTTATACAAGAACTAGTCCTAAACTAGCCAAGTTGTACGAAAACTAGTTTGGAAATGTCGAGCGACTTTTAAATAATCAACTTTCAAAAACCAGACGTTTTTACGTTTTTTCAACCGGTCACTCTCAATCATTTATTTTCCATTTCTCTCGTCTCGCGAAACCAGCAATTCCTACGGCGATCTCCGAGCACGAACATCTCTCGTAGCGGAATTCTAGTCGTTTATTACTTTCACCGAGAGAACCGCTCCAGTTGCCGTGCCACACGCTCGACTAGTCTGTCGAATCGTTACGACACTCCTAGAAAAAAGGAATATGATTCAATCCTGACGAGAGATCGTTGCGAGACACACGAAACGACAGACGATTTAATATTTGTTCGCAGTTGCTGCTACCGTTGATCCTCGGCTGTTGCTCGGTGCTGTCGGAGACCGCCACAGATTCGTCCTCTTTTCTGGCCCGAGCGTCCGCGCAACTGGAACGACTGGACACGTACCGCAGGCCCCCGAGCGATCGGCAACCCTCCTGGTTGGAGATCCTCGCCAGGGACCCAGGCATCGGGAGGATCAGCAGTCGACGGGCGTTCGAGATCTACCGACTGCTACCGGACGACATGCAGGTGGAGATCGCGAACAAGGTCGGTGGGAACCGAGCGATGATCGAATTGCTGGCTGATTCCAAAGACGAAGCGATGCAAGACAACAGGATAAAGAGATCAGGATCGAAACGCGAGATATACGACCGCGACGGATACGAATCGCCACCGGAAGGATACCAGGAAGAGTACGCAGGCTACGAGCATTACGGACCGCCCCCGCAGCAGTCCGGTTCCGATTCCGGGTCGATCATCAAAGGATCCTCCAGCGTGATCGGTGGTATCGCTCAGGGCTTGATCAGCGGCCTGGTCAGCGCCTCGGGCACCGCCTCCAAGGGATCTTCCTCGATCTCTGCTCAGAGTTCTCAATCTAGCGTCCAGTCGAGCTCGTCCTCGAGCGACACCGATAAGCCTAAGCCGGAGTACGGGCAAGTTTACTCGGTAACTATGTAAAACGTTTCGACGGATCCGATGGTGAACGTCGCACGGGAAAATTGTATCTAATCACACACGCTGTGCATCTTTTTTTTTTTCCTTCGTCCGCGTCGCTCGGTGCGACGTGAAAGTGTCGACCGCAATTCGTTTGGACAACGCGCGTGCATACTTATTTTTAATTAGAAATATCGAACGAATCATGTAGAAACTTTGATACGATTCTGCACGAAGGAAAATCGTCAACTGGGTCACCAGGGTTACAATTAAGGAGGGAAATCTCGGCTGGTTCTTCTACGCCCTTGTTCGATCGCGGTCAATCGGTGCCGTACCGTCCATCAGTTTTTCTCCGATCACCAAATAATTGTCGAATCCAGAGTTCAACTTCAAACAGCCATTATTTTTAAACTGCTGATTTTAATGAGAAAATTCAGAACACATGCCTTTTGATTCGACGTGATAAACGTTTAATTTCGACGAGACGACTGATGGACGTGAAATATAAAATTAAGCACGAGAGGAGGAATGTAGTAGCAGTAGTAGTAGTTATCCTGTCAACTGTATATCGCGGAGTATTTTCAATAAAGCTGAAACTGAATCTGAACACGTGGCTTATGATTAATCGAGTTTTTCTATGATAGTACGGCGATAAGGCGTTCGACGTTTGGGACTTCAAAAAGGCGATCGTTAGCACGTTAATGCAAGCCGTGAAAGCTATAAGCGGCGGCGTGATCGCGTTGAAGGGTCAGCTGATAAAAGGCAGCGGTTACCTCGTCTCGACGAAAGGCAAGATCATTGCCAAGGCCGGTGACGCGGTCACTTCCCTCGGTAGGAACATCGCCAAGAGTGCGGTCACTCCTCCCCCGCATCCCGGATACTCGTACCATCAAGGCGGTAAGTCTCTTTAACGGCTGCTCTCTCGGTACCGTTAATCACAACCGTAACTTCCTGTCGGGGAAAGTGAAACGTATAATTAGTCCTCAAGAGCCGTTTCCTCGATCGCTCAATTTCCAAGACGCAATTTTTTTTTATACAATTCTGCAGGTCACGACGAGAGTTACGGAGGACCACCGCCCGCCGTTGGGGAGTATCTTGCGCCCAACGAGGAGTATCACGGGAACCCGAGTTATCATTCGACGTCGGACGGTAAGATTGTTTCACATTGTAAATAATCATCGTTTTAACATCGCTGCTAATACTTATCGTCCGCTTCTAACCGACGATCGTGACTCTTGCTTGAGAATCCGGGAACGCGCGTTTTGAAACAAGGAAAGTAAGAGCGATCTTCGCTTTCGAACGAGATCCTAATCTCCGCTTTCCTTTGCGGAGCGGGGATGGCTCCTTCGAATTCCCATCTCCGTGAATTATTCCTCGACGTTCGTTCTGCGTATCCACGAATTCTCGAATTTCTGCAAGTGCTCCCTAAATCGGACGTCTTACGCAACGCGTACTTTCTCTCTTACGTAAAATTCATATTATTTATCTGTCGTCCGGCGAACCGGTCGCGTCGATCAACCAATTGCACGTTTCGCGAGGGGACGATTCATTGATAAATCGAGTACTTCTATAAGAGATTCTCGTTTCATAAATCGAACGACGACGACTGACGGACGTAACGTTTACAGCCGATGACGAGCAAGCCGGTCTGTTGATCGCGAAACCGACGAAACCAGACGACGACCATCACGACCACGGGAACAACCAACACAGTGGCAACGTAAAACCTGAAGACGATTACCAAGGACCGCCGCCGGAACAGCCTGACAAAGAGAACGCCGTGATAGACTACCAGAACTTTCATCGAGACAACGAGAACGCTCATCATCCAACGTCCTTCAGCTACGGCGTGCCGCCGGTCCAGCTTCCCCTCGAACCTCTGAATCCCGTGTCGATTCAACAGAGCGTCGAGTATCCACCCATACACCTCGACTACTTCCTCCCTAACAAAGATCAGTTCGAACTGCCGAACGGCGACGACAACGACCTGTCCGTGTACTCGAGCCTGACCATCGACATGGAACCCGACTCGATCAAAGCGCCGTTAAAGGGACACGCAGGTTTCCACGATTTCCACATGCTTCCCATGCAAGGACCCTTGAAGATTCCTCTGCTGGGTCCTCCTCACGCCATGCCCTATTGGCAGAACCAGCCTGTCGATTTCAATGGATTATACAGGAGAAGGAACAGCGCCCAGAGGAGGAGATCTGCCAGGGAGCTGGCGCAGTGGATGAGACTGCAACGGGGGTAGATCGAATGAGGTAACTCGTATCGCTTAAACGCTTTTTTGCCACAGTCCTGCTTCGCTCTGAACGTTGCTTGGAATTAATCTTGACTGAATCTAACAGACGACGAAGAATCTCCACGTGTCGTCGTTAATTCCTGTCCGAACGATGATTTATTGCAGTGATCTATTCGTATGCGTATCAGCCGTACTTCAGCGGGTTCAAACGGATTCCTAGTTACTGAAAAACTACAGTGCCTCCCGCGACAGATACTCCTACGAATGCAAGTGCGAACGAACTGTTCTACGACCAAGTGAGAATCGTCGACGAAGCGGGAGGAGGAGAGCTCGATCTCGTTTCGAGAGAGCGAACGCAGGTCCAAGTGTCGTCGCTCCGTCTTGTGATATGCGTTGAATCAGGAACGAATCTCGTTGCACCGGAACTCTGAGACGCTTGTCCAGCGTTGTGTATAAAATATCCATAAGTGTAGATGATCCGTGTGGAACGAACAAGGCCATAAATACTCTCTATAGAACTCGTTATCGTCCTCTATGTTTTGTATTATACGAATAAATCCGACGTTGATTAGAAGTGCATTTTTCTTTCCATTATTCCGCTCGATCGCTTCCAGTCTCGACGACGTCCAACGATTCATTCCCGTCATACCCATAATTTGGAAAGTCGTGATGGCTCGTATAATTTCATCCATAAGGTGAACATAGTGGGTCACTGGATCGGGCACGCAGGCGATCACGCACACAGGCGTGTACGTCGTCGCGGGGGAATCCAGTGTACGTACGTAGCGGCGGACAGGTAGGTGGTAGGATATGGAGAGAAACGGTCGGCCGTTCGACCGGTCCTCCTGCCCCATCTCTGAAGGTCTCCTGCGCTCAGACTTTCCTGTCGTCAAATTCCTCCCCGACTATAAATAAACCGACCTCAGATTTTATTCTTCCTCTCTCGATCGACTTTGTTTTTCGTAAAAGAGAAAGGAACCAAAACGAGAGCAATCACGATATCTAGGCTGCAGGATTTGCAGATCATTCGCCAGGTCCGTTTAGCAGATAAAATCCATCGTCTCGAATTACGGATACATTTTCCACCACGCGATTCTTGATGCGTAGAATCTGAAAATGAAAGAGATTAGTGAACAAAATCTAACAATAAATAAATAAATAAATAAATAAAACCTGCAGTCCATCGACGATGCAGTTGCATAATAAATCGAATTGGCTCGCGTTTACGTGGAACCGATGACTTTTCCCGGCGCGCGTTCCGCATTTCGGAGCAGCTGTTATCCGTGGAAGTAGGAGGCGGCCGTTTCGGCCTTCGATGATACGTTCGCCGGTTGCGAGTATAAATGAAGGACAATGACCTAATTGCGCGCAGAACACGAACCGCTTCCTCGTCGCGTTCATCCGCGTTCCATTATTTGTTTATACGTTCATCGGACTTCCGTCGTTCTCCCAGTGTCACAGAGTGGTCGGTTCCAAATTTTATGACGAACTTCTTCGCGGGAGGATAAAACGATGAAGGTGAGTGCATGAAAATCAAAATCGCTCTCGTCGTTCCCCGGTTTCATACTCGCTGACGCGAGAGCGTCTCGTAATTAAGATCTGCATTAACGTTGCGACGCTTATTTACATACTGATTGATCAGACGCGTTTATCAAGTATGGGCGAAGGTCGATATTAAGAGACACGCAGGTACGACCGACGAAGCGAGTCTACCGAACATAGAAGCTAGTTCCGTTACACGACAAAAAGGAGTAGTCGGTCGACGTCGAATTACTATGATTAACGGCGTTTCTTCGTTCCTCTTGAAGAACCGTGGCATCGATTTAATCGTTAATAATTTTCTTCCGATGGAAATGCGTATTTTAAGAAGCGACGATCGTCGAACACGTTGACCTCTATCGCGGCGCGTTCCCGTTTCAACGAACTCGAATCAATCAATCGGAATGACGCGGTGTCCAGGGAACCGATCGCCCAATCGCGTGCAATTTAATTTCTTTGCAAGTTTAGAGCGTTTCTAATCCGAGTCAATTTCCACAGTCGACTATTTTCTTTCCGATCGACGAGTCTTCCTCTTCTCTTCTCGCTACCCTCGCTTTTCCTACGCCGATGTGGCACAGCGTCCCACTTTGCGCTCACGACTCGCCGCCACTTCTCTCTTCGGTTTCGTTACCGGTGTCAGCGTTTCTCAATCGCCAATGTCACGGACGCGAATCTCACTTCGCCCCGAGACACGTTCTCTTCGTCAATCGCTGCGGCGACTCGCCTCCACCTCGGATCGTTTTTGCGTCCATCGCCGTAGAATGAAACCGTGTAATTTTTCTCCGAATCGTTCGCACACTCTTGCGAACACGTGGGTACCGTTAAGCCGCGTCCCTTTCCGAATTTCAGACGACCAACTGGATCTGTTGGCTGCTGTTCGCGTGCGTCTGCCTCGTGGAGGCCAGGTACAATTTCCGACGACCCCCGTTGCCACCCCCGCAGCCGCCGAAGCTGATGGCCTGGCCGAAGAAGTCGTGGCCCATCGCTCCCAGAATCTCCGTAGGGAACACCGTGCACGTCCACGGGAACCTTCAGCCGAAGCGAATGCTCCCGAAACCGCCGAATTACAGGTGCGCTCGCGGTTCCAAACGCGACTGTTCCGATCTCGGATCCTCTCGACGTTCTCCGTCGTTTACAGAATCCGTCGACCTCCGATGTTCAACGTGCCTCCGACCATTTGGAAGAACCAGCTGAATCAAATGGCCATACGAGCGCCCTTGAACAACCACGCGGTCTTACCGCAACGTCCGCCGGTCAAGGAGTTCCACTCGCAGTCGTCCAACAAAATAGCGAACATGGAATTCAGTCCAGAGTACAGACCGGAAGCCGCCGTCCTGCCGCCGACCCACAGAGGCGGCGTCGACGACGACAAGGGGCCCATTCATACGATTCCAGCTCCGAACCTCAGCCCCTTGGACAGACCCTTCGGCGGGGAGGCGAACGCCGAGGACGCGGTCCAAAGGCAACAGACCACCGCCGATGCTGCGTACAAACTAAATCCACACGGTCGGTTCGATCGATCATTCGCCGTTTTCTTCAACGTCAATTTTCTCGATTCTCTTCGCAGGCTTGTCTAACTTCGAGTTCGGTTCCGGGATCGGTACGAGTCTGGCCACTCAGAGGCCGGTGACGAGCGCGACGCCCCCGCAGAGCCAGTACGAAGTGACCGAGACCGACGAGGTCAATCAGAAGGAGTACCAAACGATCATGCCGACGTTCCTGCCGCCGGAGTTCGCGACCCTTTCAACGCTGGTGAACCCAGACCTGCAGACGAACGACGTCTACTTCAACAACCACCCGGCGTCGAACATCGGCCTCATCGGTACCAACGTACAGCTCGGCCAGCAGAATCTGCCGCTGCAGACGAATCTGCACAGCTCGATGCACGTCGGCTTCCCCGGGACCGCCGGCCAAACGCCTTACGTTATAAATCAACAGATACCAGATTTACACGTCGGCCATCCGGCCCCGGCCGGTCCTCCGCTCTCGGCCACTCAGCTGTACGATCTCTTGAACAGTTTCCCTCAGAAGATACCCGAGCAGTATCAATCGGGTGAGATTCTTGAACCGCATCTCTTTCTCTCTCTGTCTCTCTTGGACCTTGGACGATCGACGGACTTGATTTCAGGTCAGCAACCGCAGCTTCAGCAGCACATCCTGCAGCAGCAGCTCGGTCAATTCTTCCAGCCTGGGATGACGGGATTCTCGCAGCCGCAGATGCAGTCGTTCAATTACGACGAGCAGGATAACAAGGAGCAGCAGCAGCAACAGCAGCAACAACAGCAGCAGCATCAACAGCAACAAGTAGTGTTCGATCAGGAGTACGCCGGTCGAGTCAATACGAATTACAACGTGGACGCTGCGGATCAAGAGGACGAAGAAGCAGCCGCTGGCCTCCAGCAGAACGAAGACCTGGCTTACATCGCCGACGAGCAACTCGAGAACAACATCGACTACGATCAGGCCAACGATCAGAAGGACCAGTCGACTTATTTCGACAAAGTGGTCAATGACGATGGGATGTCTACGCAGTTTTACACCACGCTGCCGAATCGCGAGGCTGCGGAGAAGCTGGCGGCTTTGGCAGCCGCCGGGAACGTCAACAGCCAGCTGATAGGACAACTGCGAAAGCAGCAGCAACGGCAGCAGCAACAGCAGCAGCAAGAGAACGAAGATGCTATGCCGCCGAATCATAAGAACGAAGACCAGGGGAATTATTATCGGAGGAGCCAGCAGGAACAGCAGAAGGAATTTAATAGGCAGCGACAGGAGTACAGCGATAAGCGGCCGTTGAGAATCATGGTTCCCGACGAGACCGACGATTACGAGCCTCAGAACGACGAAGCCAAGGAGAACGGGGAGACTGAATATGAGTACGAGAACGACGAACCCGACGCCGGAGGCTCGCGATCCGAGAACAACGAATTTGGGACACGCTTGAGTCCTAAAACAACATAAATTCTCATCGTTTCATCGTATTGTATATATCGTATACTCGTTACTGGATGTCTAGGTATTCTTGCAAATTCGATACCTAAACATCCATCGTTCATTTATTTATTACGCTGTCGACCACGCATTTTCGTCGGACGTAGTAATTTATTTAATTTATTTATCGACCATTTACCTGTCTCCTTACTTGGTCGCAAGAGAATCTGCCATTGACTCACGGAATCCGTTGTTTCCTCTTCTTTTATTTCAATCGCATCACCAATTTCAATTACATTTATTATATACACGTTTCACTCTCGAGGTAATCTATTCGTATGGTACAGGATCCATTCCGGTTATACAAACGAAAATCTTCGCAGATTCCATTTTTCAAGAGTCGATCTTTTTTTTTTTTACAAAACGAACCACCACCCAGCCAGTAAAAAACAAAATCACGGTCGTCGGACTCGATCGAATCTTGAAGGAGGGAATCCAGCGATCGAAACCAACGGGTCAAGCAGTATAGCGCTTGGGCAAAATTTGATTCGAATAAATTTCAGATACTATGACCGGTCCATGAACCACGGCTTCCCGTCGTTCGTCAATCGTTTCGTGAGAATATCGCAGCCAGTCTCAGTGACTAGCAGCGTGTGCTCGAACTGCGCGGACCATTGGCCGTCGGCGGTGACCGCCGTCCACGTGTCGGGCCACATCTGGTCTCGCCACGTACCCTGAGATATCATCGGCTCTATGGTGAAACAGTGGCCCGGTTTCATCACGCCCACGGCCTTGTTTTCTGAAAACAAACGAGAATTTTCATCGGGGGACCGAAAGATCTCAGAAACGAATCGACTCGTCGATCGCTTACTGGCATAATGAGGCACGCTGGGCGCGGTGTGAAACAGACGATGAATCCCGTGACCGCAGTAGCCGCGGACCACGCTGAACCCTTGAGCCTGTGCGTGCTTTTGTATAATGTTTCCAATTTCCCTGTACTTTTCACCGGGCCGCACTATGTCTATGGCTTTCGACAAGCACTCGTACGAAACTTCGACCAGTTTCCGTACTTCCGGCTTCACGTTGCCGACCAGAAACGTCTCGTTCAAGTCCCCGTGGAAACCGTTGTGGTACACGGTCACGTCGACTGTAAACGACAGAGACGATCTCGTCAGATCTTCTTTCGATCGCAGTATTGAAAATCGAAGGTTTACCATTACAAATGTCCCCGTCTTCGAGGGGCCTCGTGTCAGGAATCCCGTGACAAATCACTTCGTTGACGGAAGTGCAACAGCTAGCCGGAAATTGATAATAATTCAAAGGAGATGGATAGCAGTCTCTCTCGACGCAAGCCTCGTGCACCGCGCGATCTATCTCAGCCGTCGTTACGCCCACGTCGCAGATCTTCGCAGCTTCGTCCAACACTTCTCTCCCGAGCTGCAACGGTGATTTCCGATTAAGCGTGAACAAACCGCGACAGAATCGGTCCGCACCTTGCAAGCTACTCGCATCGCCTCGATCTCCTCGTCGTCGAGCACTTTGATCTGAGCCGAGCCTCTCGTCGCCTGTTCGCTGACAGACAAGCCGGTAGGATGTGTCGCGTAGTCTGGACGTTTGATACTCTCCGGCACCTCTCGAGGAGGATCCCTCTTGTACGGACGCAATTTCCCGGTGTAAGGAAAGGAAGGCCACGGATTGTATTCGTTGGAAGAATCGCCTCCACCGATTCCCTCTGATCAAACAGTTCAATTCAGAACAGTTCTCCTCTAGTAAATGCAATTAAATCTGTGTTAATCCGTGCACTCACTCACTAATTGATGAATGATTTTGTGCGTTTTCCAACTCCGTTTAAAACAGTCCTGCAACCAAGAACAACGAGCATGATTCGTAACGGTCTCGGGGGTATTTGATTCGTTTGCTCGAGAGTGGAATCCCTCTCCGAGAGGATTCATACACCAGTCGAAACTAGTGAAGCGTTTAATGATCATGATCGTGTCTCAAGAAGGGCATCGAAATTGCAAGAGTAATCGAAATTTAAATGCCGAACGTACGTTCGCCCGCCGTCATAACCTATGAACGTGCGAATTACCTGAGTGCAGAAATACGAGCCCTGTATGCCGATCTTCAGGCACGTCGGGCACTGGAGGCTGGCCATAGTCTTGCAGCCCGGTGTCTCGCACAAGCCGAAAGTGAGTGCCATTTTCGTAAAATTCTTCGACGGAAAATAACAGCGGTGGTACGTAACGTAAAGTGCCTGGACTGCTCACTAGACTAGCACTAGACTAGGCGAACGAACCGCACCGACCGCTGCTGCCAGCCGGTGACCCTTCGGGGTCACTAGTCACTAGTCACTAGCCGAACGTTCCACAGGTAAAGTCGCGGAACGATTTTTTTTAATGGATTTTACGACGTCGTCAATTCCGAAACGAACGTTAACCTTTAACACCGCGCGTCACTGCCATTGTAATTTTTGTTCACACGTTCGAAACAAATATCGCGCGCGCGAGCGAGCCATTTTTCACCGCTCGTCGCACTGTACGTACATAAGCGTGGATGCGTAGGTGTACGCGTACGTCATCGGGATCAGCAGGTGCACGTGAGGTGGCCGAGGTGGCCGTCTGCTAGTCGGTGGGAAAGGTTTCGCGCTCCCTGGCTACGTTTCCCCGGGTGGCTTCGAATAACCCCGTTCGCGAGTTATGTTAGATAGATCGGACACATTATGTTCACGGTATTCCGCATACTATTGATACTGATTCACTTCTCATGTGACTTGTACCACGCGATTCACAATTGCTGCGCGAACCTGCACCGCAAGTGCATGGAAGTTTGGTGTGGCGACGATGACGGTAATTCGAGGAGGACAGAGGTTGAGATAATAAAATGTGCCAACGGGCTGAGGAAATTGCCCAAGCATTTAGTGGTAATCTTCGGTACCAAGGAGGACACTGTGTTTGACTGTGTGAAAATAATCGGATGGTGCGTCGCGCTCGGTGTTCCCTACATCAGTTTCTTTGACATCACCGGTAATTCAGTTTTTTTTATCCACTCGTTATCTGACTGACATCACCTGCCGATCCTTAATTTATCTTCGGCTTATCAGCCGCGCCGAACTCTCTCTATTCCAGTCTCGGTTGCATTTGTATCTGATCGACTGCTCCTCTTCTTACACAGGGTACCTGGTCCGAAACGAAAGTTTGTTGAAATACGAACTGGCGAAGAGAAAGGGTGACGATCTGTTAGAACGCATCGTTTGGACGAAGCCCAACGCAGGATACACGGAAAATGGAATAACTGGTACGTTCCTCTTTGAGGTATGCGTGAAACGATTAAATAGAGGTTTCAACGTTTGATTTGTTTCCAGGTCCCAAGTCAAAGATTCGCGTCTCTCTGCTGTCTCCGCTGGACGGGAAAAGTGAGATAGTGTCGTTGACGAGAACGCTGGCAGAGGCGGTCCTCACCGGGACGATAAAACCTGAAGAGATAGATATAGATTTGCTCGATGAGAAGTTGAACTCGAGGGGAGTTCCAGATCCTGATTTAGGATTAATTTATGGTCGCGTTAACTCCACTTACGGCGTTCTGCCCTGGCAAACGCGAGTAACAGAATTCTTGTAAGTATCACAGGTATTATTTGGTCGTTCGTCTTCGATTCTGGTTCGTCGATCGTCGCTTCGACGTTGTTCATTCAAAGGTTCCATTGATTTTTCAGCACGTTACCTCTGTCTCACAGTCGTCTGTCGGCCAACGATTTCGTCTACGTGCTGGAGAAGTACAGTAAATGCCAACAGAGACACGGGAAATAGCTGGAATTGTACATAAACAGTTTGATATTCGAGGAAATAAAAGAAGAGATAGTTTTTAAGAAAACAGCTAGTTTTTATAAAGACTGAACTTGAAACGATTTACAGATGATATTTTATAAGTGGTTGCGTGCTAAATAAAACTGATCGTGTGAGCGTCGTTCCACGTTACCGACCACCGAGGAATTTAAGTAGCTCAAGTCGAACGGGACACGTTTCACGGAACATTGCGAAACTGAAACTTTCGTTTTAATCTCTCTGCCATTAGATGTCTAGAAAACGAAACGGTTCCACGCGAGTCTTCTTCACCTGCTTCTCCGTTCGATCGCGCGAACGATGACACGGTTTTAAACGTTCATTCATTCACGCGAGTACAAAAGTACAAGTGGAAACAAGTGTACGAGTAATTTCGGTCAGTCTGATCGTTTCATTTTCAACACGTTTCGTAACATTCCGTGTGCACATGTTTGTACATTTATAAAACTATTGTACAGGGAACTGATTCTGATTCTCGACGACGATGGGGCTCAGGATCAAGTTCGTCTTACACGACGACTCGCCTATCGTGGGATCTACGATTCTTGGAATATAAAATACAGTTCGTTTTTGCACAAAAGTGCTTGCGTATTTACTTAGAAACCCACTTCCTTCCTGGCTAAAAATTTCTACGAATTTTTCATCTTCGATGATTTACCAGCGTCCAATTTTTTAATAAACAATTGATTTTCATCATCGTTCCAAGGTCCGGAGAAACCTATCCATTTTCCCGTTTCGTCGGCTCAACACCGGATTATATGTATTCTCTCAGGGATGTCAGTTCAGCTTTGCCGCGAGCACAATAGTCGTTGGACAGCGAAGAGACAGACGTATTTCAAGATAAGACGAGGTACATTGTCCAGTAGCACATTTACGTGGGCAGAAAAGAAGACGAGGGCGATCGCGACCAAGATAAGACGACGGAACGTACGAGCGTGCTCGAACGTAACTTTTAATTTCTGAATTAAATCTATCGGTCGAGGAGGATCGCGTCGAAGCAAGATGACCCAGATTCCCTACGGAAAGCGAGTCCCTCGGCTCTACCTGTTGCACTCCGTCCCCCGACGAACACCCTTCGTACGAACACCTGAAATCGTCTGTTTCCGACTCCCAGTTCCAATGATTAATGACAAATTACCATTCATTCCCGCGTAAGAAACGCGCATCGGGTATCTCTCGCGAAGGATTACGCGTTCGTATGAATTAATCTCAACAAGACGGATCTCCCGTCGGTGATCCTCAGCCAAGACGTCACGTCACAACGTGAGATCCAGCGAAATGAAACAAATGATGAAATGAAAATAATCCTGACGCTTGAATATTCATAGAGATCCACGTCTCCATTTAAACTCGCGATTCACGTACCAATTCACGACTCTCGATTAAATACACACATCAATTCATTCGAATCTCTTCTAAAGTGTCCGAACGTAACGTGTCGATCAATTCCTACGTCGACCTCTCGTGTAATCCAAGTTTTATTAAGAAACTCTGCTGCGTCTCGTTAATGATCGACTCGTACTACTGAAATGTCGCGATTCTTTTGTACAACGTCAATTTTATTAAGAAAATCTGCTGCGTTTCGTTAAAAGTCGAACGATAACACTGGACACGATCTATCCAAAGTGCAATCGAAATCCCACGTCGACATCTTTGCACGATACGAATTGTATTAAAAGAGTCTGCGACGTTTCGCTAATGGTCGACTCGTACTACTCACAGTCCTTGGAGGAACGATCGAACGAGATCTTCAGATTCTGTTCACGATCGAACGATCGTCGTCGACGATTCCGATGACAAGGGAGCCCGAGAGGCGGTACGACGATTTTTTCGGCGATCGGTTTCTCAAGGATCTCGCGTGGACGATCATTATTCGCGAGAAGTCATAAATAATAAAGGGGATTACGTAGGTCGGTAGCCGACGGTAATTGAATGAAAATAATGTAGAGGTATCGTGTTGTACGGCTCAGCCAATCGTGACCCAGGTGAGTCTGTGGCACCCTCGGCGCATCCCCCGTAGTCTACCTATATAAAGGGTGTCATCTCTGACCCGGGACACTCGTGCCATCAGCAACAGGCCGCAACCGTCGCGTGTCTCTCTCCTCTTCTACGTTTCCGATCGTCGTGTGCAGTGCAACCGGAAGTCGGCAACCGACCACTGGATAATTCGTCCGGACATACCTGCGACATGGTGAGTGACGTTCGTTTCCGTGAATTTTTCGCTGCGTCGACGGATCTTTTTTTTTTGCCTCACTACTTTCCTTCCCTCCGTTTGAACGACTCGCGATTAAAAGTGCTAGGTCAGTGTCGTTTTAATTTGCCACTGTCACTTTCGTCGCTTCTCTTACGTTTTCCCTTTCGTTCGAAATTCGAATTTCGCGTGCAGATCGGCAACGGGATTAAAAAATCGTGACGAGCCGTTCGACGCGCTTCTTCTCGCTCGTCGAGTTCGCCGCACGCGTTCCCATACATTCTCGACGTAAAAAAAATTAATCGTCGAGTTTCGTGAGAACTGCACGTATGTAAATCACAGATGCGTAACTTGCTAACGCGAGAATCTCGGTTTCGTTTTACCCGTATGGATTTTCGTTAAGCCGCACACATGCCAATTATTAGGAAGAACGAGTAATCGGGAGAACAATGGGCGGAGGCGGACAGAAAACAATACGGCGATATTGAAAGAATCCGAATATCTTCGTTTCACTTCTATTACTGTTTTTTGTTCGCGCATTATTGCTTCGTTTTTAATTATTCCACGTCCGCATTCTCGTGATTTGCTCGAAATACTAATTAAAATAAAGACACGCGCTCGACTCGATTTATAAACAATCGACGAAACGCGAGCTGCTCTCCGTCGACGAGTAACGATCGAATTTTAATTAATTTTATTTCAAACCACTTGTTATTTTTAGTAGAATTCATTGGATCGATCCTCGATAAAATTGTCGTTTCGAAAGGACAATTATTCGACTCGGGGTTCGAGGATTGTGTTACGGATTCCTTACGGAAGATCATTATTCGAGATGCAACGCGGCGAGGTCGCGACGGGGTCGGTGATAAATAATATCGGCCGTGTTATTAGCTGTCTTAACAGGATGTTTAGTAATACCTCGGTGGTACACCGAGCAAGATTAATACGCTGCCTTACGTTACTTTAATTAACCCTGGCGGCAGTCACCCTTCATAATGGCCACGTCGCCTACGAGTTAAAAAGACTACTCGTTTGCGAACCCGAGCAAAGGGACGTAAACTCCAATGATCCTTATTAAACGTTCCACTTTACTCGTCCGAATTTATTTCACCACCATTTCCACGATCCCTCGACAACAGCTCACGCTACTGAATCTCTACGATAAGGAATTTCTAAACTAGACGTCATTCATTATTCACGTTGAAACACCTTCGACGTTGACTCTTCTAAAAGAGAATTCTGTTTGCTATTCATAAATTCTTTCAGATTCGCTTTGATTTGAAAAAGCAGCCCCTGGCGACCATCGGATGTCGTCAGTTGAAACAAGTCGGATGAATGTAAAACTAAGATCGACTTTGCAAGTTGTTATTGCACGTCACCAATCCGCGGACCGCGCGACCGCCAAGAATCTTAAACGAGTTCCGCGATCTCGTGAACAACCTTCGATGAAGAACGCGATCATCTTTTCCGTTGGTAATCGAGATTAGCTCGCCCGACACATTTTCCAATTCGTCGCCAGAGTATTGAATAAATTAGAATAGAAATAATATGCATTAACTCCCGAGCAGAAACGGAATTAAGCAAACTTCCCGGAGCAACGTCTGAAATTTTATGAAAAAAAAATACACAAGACGAAGAACGAAATGTCATTCTCCTTCGTCTCGTTTCATCCGTTCTGAGAAATTATCCACTCCGTTGCGTAATCCCCGTTATCCGTTTGGTTACGTAAAATAAACGCGAGTATTCTTAGACGCGTTTTCATCAATCGTCTCACGGCTTCTGACGAATCCCTCTCGCTGCTCGTAATTGCTCATGATTTATTTAATAGAGGAGCGCGTTGTACGTGTTACCCCTGGTCTGCAACGTGCTGGTGTCGTCGTCGGTGTTGACCCCTTTGAAGAGCGAGGGTCTCAGGATCTTCAAGGATGCGCCCAGCGACTTTGAATACGTTCTGAAGAGACACGACGCGAACGATCGGTCCGAGGATCCAGACTCCAAGGAACGAAGGAGCAACATGGGCTCGTCGTTCATCAGATACGGCCGCAGCGGTCCCGATGCTCAACGGACCTACGACGAGGACGACGGTAGCACCAAAGTCGACAGATATCCCCGTTTCAAGTCACCTGATATCGTCATCAGGTTCGGCAGGTCCGGCTATAAAAACGGCGAGTTCAAGAGAGGAAGGAACGATTTAAATTTCATCAGGTGCGACGACCGATCGTCATTTCCTCGAATCGTTCATTCACATTTCGCGTGGTTTCCAGATACGGCAGGAACGTGCCGACGTACCCGGTCGAAATCGACGTCACGGCCATGTGCACCGAGTTACTGTCCACCGAGCAATCCAAGGATCTGCATCCCTACGAAGCTAAGCTGTTACGTCTCTGCGACGTTCTCAACAGCGTCGACGAGCACAGGAACAGCTTGGACTTCCTGCAGGACTCGAAGCACGATTAAAAAAAAAAACTGTATACCCTGATCGTGTACCGACGCCTCAATTACGATTCGACGTTGTTATCGGCTGCTCCGTACATACGTGTATATTGTATATTGTCTTGTGTCACGCATTTATTCCTCTTCTGTATTCTCGGTTTTCCTTAAGAATCGTGGATCAACGGCGATCCTACTTGATCGATTTATTTCACTGTATATAATCGAGAAATTCTCAGTTCGCTGACGAGTAACGCTGTTTCTGGCTACTTCAACGTGCATCCACCTGTGTATTCAATGTACATATGAAAGTATATTAATCGGTCGGTCAGCTTCGGTGGTAATAACCGATTGCCTTGATTAGGTGATCAAAGCGAGCGATCGGAATCTTTAGTCGAAGCCAATCGTCCTCGAAGTACAGAAGACTATAATTAATTGCCAGAGAACACGCAATCTGTTCTGACACTGTATTTTTTTTTTTTTTGTTATCGTTCGTTTAAAGGAATTCACGTTTCTGGTACGATAAGAACTAGCATTACGATATTACGAATTGTCTGTAATCATTCTTAAACAAATGTCAATGTAAATTTAATACATGTAAATGTAATTAAATAATGAAGAAAAGTAGCTGGACATATTGTCGAATCATCATTTCGTTCCCTTCTCTCATCTCCTATTTTCGACTAAGTTTTTGCAATAAGCAACTTTTATTTGTTAATTAATTATCCATGCTGGCGAAAATTTTTTTTACAAAAGTTCTAGCTATTGACGTGCTCTACACGAAAGGATTTATGTATTTTTCTTCTAATTTAAGTATTTAACGAGNCTCCAATAGTTTACGAGTTATTTACGAAAAACGAAAAAACAGTTTTTTGCAAATAACTCGTAAACTATTAACGCTAGCAAAAACTTTTTATATGGAAATTGTAGATCTCGTCGAGTTCTACAAGAAAGGTCCTATGCAATTTTCCCGTATCTCCAAGGGTTTAGGAGTTATGGGCAAAAAACGAAATTTTCGCGAAATCTGAAGGGGTACCCCTTGGAAAAATCTCGGAAAAATCGAAAATTTTTTTTTCGCGGAATTTCGACAAATGCTTTGAATAAAAGTTGTAGGTACTACTATTACCTTCAAAAGAGGTCGTATACAGTTTCCTTCTAACACTACCAAGGATTTATCCAATATTAAGAGTAATCGATAAATAACCGAAACTGGTCACAGTTTGAACGTAACAAAAATATCAATTCTTGTCAGAACTGCGTAAAAGTACGAGAAGTAATATCAGAGATCTCGCCCCATGGGTGTCGGATTGGAACGTCGTCATTTCTCCCAATCAACCCTCGGTACCTCTGCTGTGCGTAGATTCTCGTAACGAAAGGCGGTCGTTGTGTTCCCTCGGCCAGGTAAACGAAAAGAAACGAGAGAGAGAGAGAGAGATCCGTGAGAGTCCATTAATCCGAGACGAAAATTCGTCAGAGGTTTGCACGTGGATACGCAATGTGATCACCAGCGACGACGTTCCTCCTCTTTCGATTCCCGCCACGTGTTTGTGCCTAATCCATCTGACCGATGTCCTACGGCTTCCAGCAACTATCTAGAGCTGGTGAACGCACGGCTTTATTCCACTTCTTCGGACAGTCAACGTTCGTCAAACCGACGATGCATCTCGGCTCACGTTGATCGACGCAGTCTTCGTTTCACACGTTATTCGAGGTATCGTTGAAAACGTTTGGGTGCACCAGTGATTTCCACGGAAAGTGCCTTTCGAGGAGCTTTTGTTAAACCAGTTTTCTTTCCCTCTATCTTTTATTTCATGTGAAAGTAAAAATCGTTTGCATAAACGCGAATATCGAGTGACAATTATTAGCAATCTTTCAAACTGTGTAGACTTCGCGTTGGATTTAAAAATTGCGTGTTGTAACAAACGGAAATTTGTATGAGACACGATCCGTAATGTATTTTTGGCAAAGATTCATTTTTATTAGATGGAATTACTCTTCTCGCGGCTAATGTCGTATCCGTAAGAACGTGTAGCGAGAATCCGTGTAACAAATCGACGTCGTTTAGCTTAGGGAATCGTGACAGGCTTTGGATTGTCTCGGATAATTTCCATTGTCAAGGAAAAAGGATTATCTCGTGGAATAAAACAGATTAGAGTTTCCGTGTCAAGGAAACGCGATTCCGATCATCAAGCCTGCAGTAATCATCTGTTCCCTTGTTAATAGGAATTAGTCAAGCGTATTGGAACTTGCATAAAAATAATTTCAAACGAGAGATTCTTCGAACTCCAAACGATCTTCCGATTCTGGAATCCGCGGAGTACGCGCGTCGATCGCGCGGTGTCTCCATGAAATAATATCAAAATTGAATTATGGATTTCACTGAGGCCAGCGGAGGATGATCAGATTATCTTCGGATCGTTACAAAGGAATCCTGTGTTCAATCCGTAGCTACTTTCCCTCTTGTCTGCGCGTTTAACCAGATTCGCCTTGGCTTCGGCGAATCGTCATCGAAGCTCGCACTTAAGCGTTACTTTCATTCGACATAGAGCAATTATCAGCTTCGAGATTCGATCGTTTCCGCTCTTTTGATTCTCGAGCAGATGAGATTTCAGACGGACTGATCATAGTTCGAGACGAATATTCGTGTTTTCGATCGGTGGAGGCAGAATAATCGTTGACTAAAATTGCGTAGGTGTTTCTGATGAGCCGGTGAAGAGAGGATGAATCCGTCCGAGTCGCAGCAGAATCTGCTGGCGGGCGAGGGCAGAGCGCCTTCGGTGCATTCGTTGCAACCGCCGCAAGACTATTCTCTTGGCCCAGTTGAGAAGCACTTCCTGCTGAGCGCGGAACGAGGTGATTGTGCCACTGTCAAAAGGTAATCCTTCCTGCCCGGCCGGAAGATAAATCGTGGCTGGAAGCATCCCGTCGAACCGACGAGGACCCTCGTTTCCGATCCTCGCACGTCCTTGCGCGACATTTTCTCCGTTTCCAACGTCGACTTTTATGTCGTTTCGTTTATCAAACGAGGGACCATAAATTCTCTCATAATATTTCGTATCTTCTCACTTGAATCGTTTCGTGTAGAAACGAGAAATGGTTAAACAGATGTTTAAAATGTGGCTCAGATTGCTGGAGGAGAACAAGGATCACCCGGAGCTGTTGAACATCAACTGCGTGGATCCGTTGAACAGATCGGCCCTGATCGCAGCGATCGAGAACGAGAACATCGAGCTGATCAAACTGTTGCTCGAACTAGGAATCCAAGTGAAGGTATCTCGATCGTTTCACCCTTAAGATAAGAAACGTGTTTCACTCGGTGTCTCCCTCGAAGAAATTCAAAGGAACGAGCGCGGAGTGCATCGCGGACGCTGGTACATTAGCCACAGTGATATAGCGAAACGATAACGCGGGGCGTTAATAAATAATCCAGCGATGGGAGGACGCGTTTAAAGGCACGGCACACGCTTCACATAATTCCTGCTTCCTCTTTCAGGATGCACTCCTACACGCTATAAAGGAAGAGTACGTGGAGGCCGTCGAGATCCTTCTCGAATGGGAGGAAAGAATACACACGGCTGGCCAGCCTTACGTGAGTTCAACAACTCTTCGTTCCGTTTCGCTTCATAGGAATTTTAATCGTAAAATAGAGATAAATTTTGACGGTAGAGCTGGGAAGCCGTGGACAGGTCGTCGTCCAATTTTACTCCGGACATAACGCCGTTGGTTCTCGCAGCGCATAAGAACAACTACGAGATCTTGAAGATTCTCTTGGATCGCGGCGCGACCCTTCCGACTCCTCACGACGCCAGGTGAATCTCTCATACTTTTACATATCTCGACGAACGTAAATTCGAGACGTTCAAATCGCGTCACTTGTTTGGCTTCGTGTCAATACTCGTACACCCGCTCATAATACGAGTTATTCGATTAAGAGTGCTAATTATGTTATTGCAAAAGCTGCACGTGTCGATTCCAAAAACGTGCGCATCACGCGGCAACTATGATTAATAACGTCTGACATATTCGTTTCCGATCGAGCCTCTTGTTCTCGAGCCATTTTCAATTACAAATCGACGTGCCATCGACGTGCTTTTCTAGATGCGGTTGCGACGAATGCGTGACGTCGAGCGAGCAGGATTCCCTGAGACACTCGCAGGCCAGGATAAACGCCTACAGGGCTCTGACTTCGCCGTCCTTAATTGCTCTCTCTTCGAGGGATCCTCTTTTAACCGCGTTCGAACTTTCTTGGGAACTTCGTCGACTGAGTAAAATGGAGCAGGAGTTTCGTTTCGAGTATAACGTAATTCGAACTTTAATTTCGCTTAATTTCTCGTCGGCTCGTCGCTGAGCAACGATTTTATTTCTCCAGGAGATGAGGGAGCAGACGCAGACTTTCGCCACGTCTCTCCTCGATCACGCTCGTACGTCTCTGGAACTGGAGATAATGCTGAATTATAATCCTATCGGCGACAACTGGGAGCCGGGAGAACGGCAGACCTTGGAACGTCTGAAGCTCGCGATTAAATACAAGCAGAAGCAGGTGACACGATTCCTCTCGCGATCCAAAGTAGCGATCTCGCGTGGTTCGATCGCTAATTGCATTTAATCGTTTGAAGTTCGTGGCACATCCGAACGTGCAACAGCTGCTGGCTGCCATTTGGTACGACGGTCTGCCCGGTTTCCGGAGGAAAAGCATGATCGGCCAGTTCATCGAGATCGGAAAACTCGGCGCGATGTTCCCGGTTTACAGCTCGATCTACATGCTCTCGCCGACGTCGCCTATGGGGCTGTTCATGAAGAAACCGTTCGTCAAATTCATCTGCCACTCGTCCTCCTACGCTTTCTTCCTGAGTAAGCGACATCGTCGACTGCACGCGTGTTTATTATTGCGCGACGTTTCTATTTCGAACGCGGCGAATCGAATTAAACGGTAACAGACACGGGACAATGTAATTAATACTGCCGCGTAATTGGAGCAAGTATGAAAAATCGGGGGGAGAAACTTTTCAATCAGGCTCTCGAGGTAAAAGAATTAACGTAATTTCGTTATTTCCAGTGCTCCTCGGGATGGCGTCGCAACGTATCGAGTACTTGGTAATCGAGTTGTTCGGAAATGCTTGGATGCACGAGATACTCGCAGGCTGGAAGAGACGCGAACGCGGCTGCATTCCCGGGTTTGTCGAATCCGGCGTCATCATCTACGTTATCAGTAAACAAATTTTAATTACCGTGTTTTCCTCGATCGTTCCACTCTACGTGAATCTTTCAATCGTTTCTCAGGCTTAGTCATTGGCGAGATGAGATCGTTATGGTCCGACGGGCTGCTGGAATACATCTCGGATTTATGGAACATCGTCGATTTTATTCAGAACATGTTTTACGTGATTTGGGTCATGCTCAGGGTCACCGCGTGGTTCGTCGTTCAGGTAAGAAATGGCAAACAAATCATTCTGACCCCGTTGGTATTAACGAGGGTTCCTGAAACAGCGAGAGTACTGGAGAGGTTTGGATCCTTGGTACCCGAGGGACCAGTGGCACGCGTTCGACCCGATGCTTTTGTCCGAAGGAGCTTTCGCGGCCGGCATGATTTTCAGGTAATTAAAAATGCTGACACTTGACTTCATTATGAATCGATGGTGAATCGTTGAATCGGTCGCAGTTTCTTGAAACTGGTGCACATATTCAGCGTGAACCCGCATCTCGGTCCGCTACAGATTTCCCTGGGGAGGATGATAATAGACATTATCAAGTTCTTCTTCATCTACACGCTGGTCCTGTTCGCCTTCGGCTGTGGTGAGCTTTACTTATTCAAATTCCACGCGCTAAAGAATTAAAAGAAACGGCCTTCGAGTTTCTTGATTAAACCCGAGCCTCTGTCATTGATCTAGGAATGAATCAACTGATGTGGTACTACGCCGATTTGGAGAAGCAGAAGTGTTATCACATGAAGGAATTTCCCGATTACCCGGACTTTGACAATCAGGAGAAGGCTTGCTCGATCTGGCGACGTTTTGCCAAGTACGTACAACGTAGGTATCGTGGAAATTATACGTATATGTCGTGTACATATGTTTTCGATTCTAGCTTGTTCGAGACGTCGCAGTCGCTCTTCTGGGCCAGCTTCGGTATGATAGACTTGATGTCGTTCGATCTGACCGGGATCAAGAGCTTCACCCGGTTCTGGGCGTTACTCATGTTCGGCTCCTACTCCGTCATCAACGTGATCGTCCTGCTCAACATGCTCATCGCCATGATGTCCAATTCTTATCAAATCATCTCGGTAATATATAAATACCAGTCGACGATAATCGAAATTAATCAGGTTCAAAGTACGCGATCTTTGAAACGTTTCGTGTCAGATTTTCTTGTCGATCGAATTGATTAATCCTGAAATGATGGATGATCGATCGATTGATTCTGCGATTGATCGCAGGAAAGAGCCGACACCGAATGGAAATTCGCCAGGAGCCATTTATGGATGAGCTACTTCGAGGACGGTGACACTGTGCCACCGCCGTTCAACATGGTCCCGACGGGGAAAACGTTTACGAAAATTCTTAGCTGTGGAAAGGGCAATCGTCAAACCAGATCTCTCATCGTATGTATTTAGAACGATCTAAACGTAGAATGGTGAAAATTTGAATGCGAATTTTCAGAAAAAGTCGAGGGAGAAGGCCAAGTCGAGACACGACACAGTGATGAGGCTGTTGATTAGAAGGTACGTGACTGCCGAGCAGAGGAAAAGAGACGAATTCGGGATAACCGAGGACGACGTCATGGAGATTCGACAGGACATTTCTACGTTACGATACGAGCTGATCGATATCCTCAGACAGAACGGGATGAGGACGCCGCAGATCGATAAACAGGAGCGTAAGTCTCAGGTTAAAACACCGATTTTATTTTTAGTTTATCTATCGTTTCGCAAAGAATTCTCTGATTAATTTATCTCGAGATAAGTAAATTCTCTAAATAAATACTCGACAGTCAGATTATCGACAAAGGATCAGCTTTACCGAATCGATATGATTGATTGAACGATCCCGATTGATCCTGAAATTTCCGATTCCAGTGTCTGGTAAAAAGGGAAGGGTGATGGAGCGGAGGCTGCAGAAGGACTTCCAGATAGGCATAGTGGAAGGCATAGTGAACGCAGTGATTCAGAGCGATCAGGAGCCGAAGGACGTGTTCAGTCAGATCGCCAAGGCCATCGGTCGCAAGAGCAGCGGTAGCAAGAAGAAGGACTGGAACGCGGTGGTCCGGAAGAACACGCTGGCCAAGGACCCGATCGGCAGCACCACCGAGGCGACCATGAAACAGACGCGACGCAGTATACGTAGAAACTTGCAGCACCAACCGGACTCAGACCTGGTCTCGTTGGACCCGAATCGCTTGGTCGATTACAATCCTAATCTGTCGGAAGTGTCGCCGACCACTCGAGTCGCTTATGCCAAATTCATGCTGAGTCGGAGCAGGCCGTCTCCTCCGGAGGGCGAAGGAGGTACGACGTGGTCAGACATAAATGCATTTTAGACAAACCGTTCACCGTTGTTCTTTTGCAGCAGCTGCGAAGGAGGGCGAAGGGCCACCGAAACGAACGATGTTAAAGTCGAGTTTGTTAAAATCAATGAGCACCAGCAGCGTCGACAAAGGTGGGGAAAAGGCAGTAGAAGTGAGGGCACCGTCGCCGATTCCGGAAGATCCACGGGAGGACGAATCTCCTCAAGGAAAGGCGGCGACTCCGAAACAACCGGAACCGAAACCGCAACCAAAACCACAACCGAAACCCGAACCGAAGAAGGAGGAGTCTAAAGTTGAAATCGAGGACGAAAAGAAGAAGGAAGATGAGGAAAAGAAGAAAAAAGAGGAGGAAGAAAAAAAGAAAAAAGAGGAAGAGGAGAAAAAGAAAAAAGAGGAGGAGGAGGAGAAGAAGAAGAAAGAACGCGAAGAGAAGAAGGAAACGAGTGGACCTCCGCCGAAACCACAGGAGGAAGCTCCGGTCGCGACCACCAAATTGAGAGGAAAGTCCAAAGCGACTGGACAGGTGATGGGTGGTTGGATCTAAACTAGTCGGCTCGCTGCGAAGATGATCTCAAACATTGTAATTAGGTAAATTAGAAGGGACCGAGATCGTCTTGCTGACTTACTTTCGCTTTGTTAGATGATACCACTCGCATAGACGAAGATAACGAGCGGAACGAACGACGTTACGCAATAATTTTTAACAATCATTCACAAGATTCATGTTTTTTATCTAACGCTTAGCGCACCGATCTGATCAGCCTTCATATTTTTTAAATCTTATACGCGATCGATCGCATCGATACTTATCCTATATCCCATTGTCGTGTATGTACAACGATCGTATAAAAGGTATAATAAATTAAATCGACTACGAATCGATTCGAATCTTCTCCCCACGCTCGTCACGCGCAATTCCCGCAGAGTCTCGACAAGAATCTACAAACGAAAGCTCGCGTTATTTCCTTATTATTTACAAGACTCTGTAAGCTCTTTCGTACCTTCTCTTGCCATTTTTAGTCGCCACGGCCTCGTTCGTTTGGACGTTCCCTCGTTTCTTCTTCCGATTGTCAATTTTATCTTCCTATACACACGAATCAGAAATTGATCGATTATCACTTCGTCGGGTACGATCTATCGTTTAGATCGAACGAACCTCTATCAATTCGCCGATCAGAAATTCTTTCAACTTCTTCTTCGCGTCGGAAGAGTGTCCGAAATCTTTGAAACCACGCGTCGCGTCCTGTCCCGCGTACTCTTCGAGCAGATCGGATCCTCCGGGATGCTGCAATTCAATTAAAAATTTTGCACATCGTTCGATGAATCTGATTCTGAGTTTTCTCGTTTCTTCTCTCACGTGTTTCATGTAAGTGGTCACGTCGTACACGAAATCCTGAATCACCAGCCAGCACTTCGCACCGTCTCTTCCATTCTGTCGCGCCACTTCCTTCAACGAATACCTCGTCAATTCGCCCATTTTTCAATATCACAAATCGCGACCGCGAGTTCACAGTTTTCCGGATCGAAATCGATCCGACTCGTGGCGAACTCGAGCGTCGACTGGACACGAAAGGAGACGATGTCTAATATTGAATGGCACGAGGAAAAAATTGATAAGACGCGGACGTGATTGATAAACGGAGATAAATCGTGTCACGTCTCTGATTACAGATTGGGAATTACCGCGGATCATTTGCAAGACTTTGCGTTTATTGAAAACCAGGAAACCGCAATCACACTTGAAACGTCAATCATATTTCTAATGAGATTTCTTCATATCACGTGTACTGTACACTTTCATCGATTCATACTCGTTTATTTCCTTATCTTTATTCTCGCCAAATGTTCCAAGCATTAGTCATCAGATACATACGCAAAAGATGAGAGATTACATGTTGTTAGAAATACAGTAAAGGATCGTTCGGATTTCGAGGTCTGTCAGGTTTCCTGGCCACGCTGTTAGAATCGTCCGGTGCGTTTTCCTCCGACTCGAGTTCTGGAGGCTGGCAAGCCATGGCTCCGCAACGATTTATGCAGCACTTGAGTTTCCCTCTGCAATCGGCGTCCACGGTACAAGTCGGCGAACAGACCCACCTGCCTTTCGGTACCGCCGGACAGTTACCCGGTTTCTCTGAATACGATCGACGTCGTTTAATTAAATCTGCATTTCTTCTCGTATAAATATTCATCAACGATCGCTAACAGGTGTCTCAAGTTCAATACCTGGCGCGGTCGTTTGCCTCGTGGTGACGGGTTTCGCGCAAACAGAGCCGCCGCAATTTGTCGGACAACATTTACCGATGCCCAGACATTGCGAATCGGAGAAGCACGATTGGGTGCAAATTTGCACTGGCATGGGTGGAGGGCAGGAGCCCGGCTTCTCGGCGAACGGTTCGTATCTACGAATCATTGCTCTAATTATTATACGAACCGAGATTATTGTAATGTGGTAAATATATGTACCTGTGTTGACCGGCTGCGATCGAGGCTGACGCCAGGACGAACATCGACACGAGTAACTTCATTGTTTTCACTCAGTTTCCAAGTTCGATGATTAATGTTCACTGTTTTTTCATTATCTTTTCTGTGCTCTCCCGAGGGTTTTTACGTTTTGTGAATGAGAGGGCAAACGGGGTCTCCTATATAGGATCGATCCCCACTCGACGCCCGAGCACGCGACGGCCCCGAGATTGTTGGACCCAACTCGGATGTCGAGACACAATTAATTACATTTAATTAAACGAGTATCTAATTCGAGCGGAATCGGAAGGAAGATTGCGGTTTCAGTTGATTACAATAATCTCTCGTCCCTTAATTGGTCGTCCGATCAAATCTCGTTAGAACGAAAAATTCTCTTCGAAAAATCGTTCAGTAAAAGTGCAACACGACGTATCGAATTTTAAATTCCTCGAGGGATTTTCCAAAGTGACCACGTGAATACCACGAAGGTCCGTTAGATACTGTCGACGAATAGTCAATGGAATGCCTCGTGCCAATGTTGCGATAATAAAATTTACATAAATGACGTGTTACGAAATGTTGTTCCACCGTCGAGGACGACCGGTTTCTTAAGAACGAAAGTCTTCGTTACGACAAACGTCGTACATCATTCGTGCAATTAGCACTTGCAGATCGTCGACGAGGAGTCAATGTGAAGGACAGTGGGTTTCATCGTTTCATCTTCTTTATTAGAGTATAAACATCTAAACATAAATATATATATATATAAAAAAAGGATCGAATGAGTTCAGTAGAAAAGATTCTTGCAATAATAGAAAACGATAAATGCATCGTTGGTACTTGAAACACGCTTGATTCCTAAAAATAAGTTCAACGATCGTACTCCGTACGTCGGTGTTAGTGAACGATTATGATTACAATTAATCGATGGTAGATCGATGGCTGCTGGCGCAGCTTCATCGAGAATTGATTTACCTTAATTTTACGATAAGATCGTGACAGACGACAGTATGTACAGATTTTGCTTTTGACCTCGCAGTGCCAAAAGGTGAAACTTTGATTTGGTGCTCGCTAGCATTGTATATCCTGGTAGAGATCCCAGCGTTAATTAATTAATTAATTGATAACTTAGAACGGCGCGACCGGAAAGTCTCGATCGCTCGACTCGATTTACATGCCGTTCGAATCTTTCAGAATTTCAACCCTTTGAGGAATTACAAAAATAATTGCTAGATCTAACGAGACGTTTCGACTGCAATCGTCGATTAAAATAAACGATAATTTGTACCTAATGTAAAAACTCTATGAATTAAGTCACGCTCGTTCGAACACTGAACGAAACGTAAAAGATACATGAAACGAAGACCTTGTTCCTCGATTCCTTAAGACGGACGATTTATACTATTAATACTAATTGTTAGAATTAAGTTTGTCATCGCCTACCAAGAAAATGTACCGATCCTCGGACCATCACTTTTTCGTGGCAACTGTAACAGTCAGAAGAAGAAAATGATTAATTACGACGCCCGATCGGGCCTTCACGGAGCCAATTTGTCAAATGGACTTCGTGCTTTGAATCACACCAAGACTCTTAAGGATTTATTCATCGTTCGTATTGAATCCTGACTCATTTTCAATTAAATCTTATGAAAGTCGTGTTCGTTTTATCGAAGAAGGAGAAAACAGGCCGCAGACAAATGATCAAATCTTTAATTCAATTGGTATTTAGTCAATTGTTAATGCAACGATTAAAAAATCTGCGATCCTGCAAGTTCGTGTTTACCTCTGGGTGGAACTGGAGGAGCGGGTTTCTTCTTAAACTCCTGAGACACGTCGACGTTCATGTAATCGGGCATTTTGACGGAATCCGGCACGTCGACGCCTTCGGTACCACTCGCCACGTTCGTTTCCACGTATTCCTCGTTGCCCGTTCCCTTCACCTCGTCCGTGCTCGACTCTCGCACCTCGTCGCTCGCTCTGCTCTCCGTTTGATCAGAGAGCTCGACCTTCGACGAGTTATCCTCCTCGTCGTTGGCGCGAGGAGAAGCGACGCAGGACGGCGTCACGTTCGCGTAATTCGTCGGGACGCCGACCGGTGGTACCGGTGCCGAGTTCAACGTCGACGGATCGACGTTAGCGTAACTCTTTTCAGAATTTTTCAATGCTTCTTCCGAAACGTCGGACGAGCTTTGCATCATGTCTAAGTATTTCTCGCTTGGAGAGCTCGGAGTCTTCGGTTCCTTCAGCGAGCACTCCGTCTTGAACGCTGTGGACAATTATTAAACGACGTCAAATACAAACAGTATTGAAAACTGTGTCGCAAAAATTATGCATCGAAGTCACTTACAGTGGACGGGCAATCCCGAGGGAGGGAAGGCGATGTAATACTCGGTACTCTCGTTCTTCGATGGTTTAAGATCGAGATCGTTTCCGGTGGACGAACGAGGTGAGGGAGAGTATCTGAAGGCGGGTGAATATCGGCCGGTGAACGGCTTCGGAGCCGGTGGAATCTCGTAGGACATCACGCCCGACTTGTCCTCCCTGGCGTTTTGCAGTCGTCGATCCTCGGCGTCGGAATGTGTCCCACTGTCACCTAAGCTGGTGCCGCTGCAGCCACTGGCGGTGCTCATTCTCCCGGACGAAGACGAGCTCGAAACGCTACGAAGGCTCAGACTGCTGACTGGTCTGCGATCGGCCAGCGCACCGTTCGCGTTCTCCGCCTTGCTGGCCGAGCAGGAGTCGTCGCTCCCGTTCGCGGCGTCTTTCGAATCTTTCTTGCCTTTCGAGAAGAATTTCTTGATTCGATCGAAAGGAGTAGGAGCCTTCATCTCCTCCTTCATTCTCTTCTGTATCCTCTCGTACTCCTCCCTCATCGCGGTCAACTGTCTCTGCTTGTCCTTGAAACTCTGCTGGACGTCGTTGCGGTTCCTCCAGTTCTCCACCAGTCTCTCCACTTCGGTGATCGTGAACACGTTGTTCTTGAAGTCGTTTATTATCTCTAACAGCTCGTCCTGAGGACCGGACGGTTCTCTCGACTTCGAGGAAGCTTTTCCATAAGAAGACGAAGAGTTCTCTTCTCGGTTCTGAGAATCTATCCGATTCTTGGTCGGAGTCGCCGCCCTCGACGGCTGCTGGCTGCTCACCACGCTCGTCGGCGTCTTCAATCCTTCGAAGAAAAAGTTAGTTGCATTCGTTGACGGATTCGAGTGATTTACAATTTTGATCGAGTCGACTGCTCACCAGCTGGATGCATTTTCATGTATCCTTGAAGCGGAAGCTCGAGGCCGTTCGCAGAGACGACGGGGGTCGGTGCTGGCACGATCGAGTAATTCGCTTCGATGGGGTTTAACGGGGTGGTGGTAGTGGTGGTGCTCGGTTCAGGGGTTACTACCGGCGATTGGCCTGGCAAGATCAGAGACGTTATTGGCCTCGCGGCCGGTGGCACCGAGTAAGCCTCGCTTAAAGGCCGCGGACGGCAATAATCCTCCTTATCGTTAGTGGCTTCGTTAGTCGACGATGGATCCGCATCTGGAAATCCACGTTCGATACATTCCTAATCGAGAAACCATACGAAATGAAACGAGGAATGCACTCACTCGCAGCTTGGTCTGTCGTGGTCTCGCTGATCACTTTCAGGTAGCTGTACATGTTAGTGAACTCGTTCATTTGCTGCGAGGATCCAAGGGGATGCCCGAAACATGCAGAAGATAAATGATACCAGTTAATCGACCGAAGCGATCGAACTTTTAAGTCGTGCCAGGATCGCAGATTTCTGCAATTGCATCTGCGACCCCGAATTGTACAAATCGATTAATTTTTAATCAAAGCGTTTATTGCATCGACAAAGGACTGAAATGTTTTACGATAGGAACTGACTCGACTTTGGCTAATTGAATTTGATTAATTTGCGTTAGAGTTATTAGAAGTACCGGATTCCATTCGACTAACTTTCACGTCGCTTTAAAGGCGATTTTGTACCATGTAGCCACGAAGCTGATGCGCCAGTCTCGCGTGTCCCGCTTGTTCCGCAAGATCCGCGGGCGTCAGCTCCGACACGTTCCTCAGGTCGCAAGCTATCTCGCCCCCTGGACACTCGAGGAGCTGCCAGGCCAGTCTCTCCAGGCCGAAACGTGCCGCGAAGTGAAGCAGTGTCGGGTTCTCTTCGGGACCTAGTCATTTCAATTTATTTATGAGATAAACAATTAAACAGTCGTGGTAGATGTAGCCGTTTCGCGGTGCCTCGAGATTCGACACGAGTTCTTACCGACCAGCCTTTCTACGAGTCCAGCAGCGAGCATACAGATTTAACATATTTATCGTACCGTGTAAACGTTTAATCGACTTGAATTGAATTAAGTCAGCGAAACTCACTCGAATGGACTTTCTGCGTGGAAACGACGCCGGTAGGTGTGGACAGGAGGTTGAAGTGCGGCGGGACGTTTCGTTGAAACGCGTGTACCATCCAGTTGTCCAACTGTTCCCGATCGCCAGGGTTGAAGCCGAAGGTCTGTGGACAGAATCGAGAAGGAGAACGATTGTAGAGGATGGTCCACTCGAACCTATTTACACGAATTGCTACCTGGCACATGAATTCCAAAGGATTGTCGTGAGCCCTGAGGATCTGGTCGAGTTCCCTGAGCCTGCTCTCGCACTTCACTTGCCTCACTCCGAGCGGGCTACCGTTCTTCGAGATCCTGACGCCGACTAGCATCGAAACCTCGAGGCATCTCTCGGGAACGGAGAATTGCAACGCGTAAGGGTTCCTCCGTTTCACGTGGGCGACGTCGATGGCCTCCCCGCAGCGATCCACGATCACCGAGACGTTGTCCTCCGGTCTCAACGGATCGTTAAGTAACGCGATTATCCTGTTGTGACCCTGGAAATATACTTTCAATCATTCTCTCTCTGTCACTCCTCTCCTATTTATTCGTATTCTTCGATCGATTAAAAGTTACACGTACGAGCTTGACTTTCTTCGGGTGAACGGAGAACGAAGTCTTGTCGCTCCTCAGCGCTGGGGGAGGCGTGGTTCCCAGGATGCCGACCGCGGCACCCAATAATTCACCTACGAAGGTCTCGTCCTGATCTTTGACGAAATATTTTCTCCACTGGTTGTACGAGACCAAAATCGATTTGTGAGCGTCGCTGATGTGACTGTCGTGGACGCCCAACATCATGGCGAGGACTTTCTCAGCCACGAATTGCTTCGAGAGGTTCGTCGCGTGTTCCGGACGATTCTGGACCCTTTCCAATAGAATCGGACACACGACCACGATCTGCAGACGGGCCGATCGGATTCGATCCTCTGTGCCTGGCTGCGTCGGCTCTTCGATCGTCAAGTGACGGACTCTGATCGCGAGAAGTAAAGCATTGAGTTTTCAGATCGACGAAGGTTTCATCGTGGAAAGTACCTGAACGGCGGCCGGCCTTGCTGCCTGCTGATCTGTTCGAAGCAAGCCGTGAGATAATTCACCCACAGGTTCGAAATCTCGCTGTCCTTGCTCGAAACGAAGAGGACGTCGTCTTCTGGCTGCGAATCGGTCTTCGTCACTCCCGTCGCGGAACGAGACCCTGAAAATTTCATTCTCACGTTAGAACTTGTCGTAGTACGATGAGAATCGCTCACACCGACTCATCGTATTTCTCAATCCTCCGCCGCGGTTTATACTGGTTCTTTTTAATTAAATTTCACATCGGAATAATTAGACGATTTAACTGACGGTGCAGTTGGTTCGGAGCCATTAACGGGCTCACAGACACACCTTCGTTTAGCTTTCTACTCCCTCGGCGCGGCGGAGTGTTCAATTTCGCTTAATGTAACGCGCGGCACGCGATTGTTAATGAAGTAATGCGTTTGTTCCGTAGAAAACGACGTCAGGAACGTGCGACGGAAATCGTTCGACGCAGACACGCCAAAAACCGCCGTTTCGAACTTACGTGGCAACTATGAATAATTACGAACCGATGGCCTTGACGACACGAGGAACGATACGAGGCTCGTCCATATTTCTGGTCGTGCACGCCGAGTTTATCCACCGTACAATGATATAATTAATGGGGTCGTTCGTTTTCCATAAACTCGTACAACGGAGCTTTTGTGCGAAGCTGATATCGATATCTGACAGAAGGAGAAGGAGCCGACGGGGTTCACGATCCCCCCGAAATAACCGGAAAGACTCGCCTTTTTTACGTCTCCTTCGGTCATAATACTCTATCTGTCGTCGTTCGAGTTGAACCGCTTGCCGAAAAGAGCTCGCTCGAGAAAAAATTGTTTCCCGTTTCCAGACGATAATTGCCGAGACGATAACGTAAAAACAAACCAAGAAGCAGCCTAGCGAAACTCGTACAGCGTTTCAAACGATGGGTCTCTATGGCATGGGGCTCTGAAAATAACCGAGAGCCACGGGGTAAACGTTCATTTTCCTCCCCCTTCCGCGTGAAAACCGCGGACAAATAAACGTGCCGTTAAGAATAGAAGAATAATATAGCAAAGGGTTCCGTTTCCGCGTTGGTAACACGTGGTTTCAATCCCCGAAGGGCGAGCTGCACGTTTTTCATCTCGTTTGGAGAAGAACACCGGCGTTCCTCGAAGTCAAAGGCTTCGACCTCGGGAATTCGACGATCTTTCCATATTTCCACCGATTCTGACCAAACGCGTTTCTCCTACGGACTTTTTATCGCGAGGAAAGGGGGAAAGAGGGAGTGAAAAATCTTCCTAGCCGTAGTTGGCACGAGTCGACCCCTTCGTTCGCTACGTGACGCGCGTGGCTTCCGTTTTCGGTACATCCGGCCTTCCACCGAATTATTATAGTCGCGAGCGATTAAACCCGTTAGGCACGCTCTTCGCGGCGGCGCTACGCCACAGGAACTCCTACGACGATCGTCGTTAAAAAGATACTTTTCCAACGCGCTCTGATAAAAGTTACGAGAATTTTTTTAACAGAGCTTAAAGATCGAAGAAATTCAGACGCTCACGAGTGACGTTGGACAGATCCAAGAAATTCGGTCGGTTCCTTCGCCTCGACCGAGGCGTTTCACACGTGTTTGCCATACTCTTCAAAGGTACGAACACCTCGGCCATCTCCTCGATCCCTTTAATCTCCTTCGTGGCACCCGCGGTTCACCGGTCGCTTCTCATCGCCACCGAGGCTCGAAATGGGATCGTTTAAATTCTTACTCGGAGACTAGAAACGACACCCACGATTCATCGTCGACGACTGACCCGACCGGTTCGAAATAATAATCGAATTCGAATCTTCGGAACCCCTCCCCCATCCTTCCCGGCCCCACGTCATTGTTTTCACGTACGGACTCAGAAATTAGACGATGCCCATAATTAAGATCGACTGCAACAGAATTTTAAGTGGCAGGACTCTTTGTTTCACGCTCGGATCGTTCCTCGGACAGAAAATATCAAAATTCACGCTGCGATGTTTAAAATGGAAAACAAATTCCTATTTGGATTCGATTTTCTATTCGATTTAAGTCGGTTCGCATAAAAATCTGCAGTCTATCTGTTTTCGACGTTCTCCTGTGAACGCGTCGAGTCTGTATGGACAAAGACGAAATCGAATTATTATGCGAAAATCTGCCTACAAAGCCGATGGATGGGACTGGCGATCGAGAGGAGAAGAGATCGCGGATGGTATCTGTATTCGTAGCGCGTCCCTGCATACGATTAGCATAGGTATACCGCATATCCTGCGCATCGGGTGCAGCAGGACGACGCGCCTCGGACACGTTTCGAATGCACGAAAATCTCCCCGGTGGAATGCCCGAAGCACGCTTTATAAATAATAAATAATCTTTCACTTTTCTCAATCCCCTAGTCCCAATCCAAAAGTTCGTATACCCAATTTTTATCGACGCTACAGACGTTAGATACAAATTAGAAATTGATCACGTCGCCCTGAGAATTTGCAGTCCCTTTCTTACGCTCAGCTCTATTAATTTATACACTTTGGTCTATACGTTTTATAGTTTTAATTTAATTTATATAGTGTTCTTTAATAACGAATACTGAACAAACTTGAAGGCAAAGGTATTCATAAATTTTTCATCGATTAATTAAAATTGTAAACGACGGCATTGTGCCTGTGGAGAGGCAATGTGGAACAGTGGAACACATTTGTAAACAATGCTGGTTCGAGTCAATTAAGTCTTTAAACGATTACCGAAATACTCGATGCTCCGTTTCGCGTAATGATTCTCCTCCTTGATCTTCATTTTCACCGAATCTCACGAAACACGATCTTATGTCGAAACGAACGATTTTACTCGACGCTGATCATCTCGCGATCGCTTCGGCACGTCTGGAATTTTTCTGAACGCAGGCAGATATGATTCGAACGAAAGAGAGAAAAACTCGGAGGAGCACGCGAGATCGAAAACGAACGTCCGGCTGTAGCGCGACGCGCCTCGTCACTGAAACGTTCTCTCGAGTCTCCTCCGAGGGTTGTTTCCTTTTGATGCAGACGCATGCGCTTCCACGCGTGTCCGACCACACGCTCGAGACGTTGCTTCCGAATATTTTTCAGCACCCACGTGTTCACGGAAAAGTTTCGTGACCCGATTCTTCACGGGGTCCAACGGTACCGCGTGTAAAACGACGTTCGCGAAAGGTCATCTGTTTTCATACGAAACTGCACGTCGTCAGACTCGTTTCGATTTCTATTTTGCTACCGAAACCTCGACTGGGGTGTTGCACTTGACACGAGTCACAAAGGGTCTCAGATGCGAGACGCGCCTGTGTCGATTTTCTCGACGAGGAACCTTGAACAGGGCGCCCATTCACGAAGAAATTGAAATTCCAACGAGCCGCGTTCAGCCGACTTCCCTTTACCCGTTGCCGCCGCTCTCGTTAGACTCGGACAGTGGATAAAAATGAACAGATCTTCAAATATTCTCGCGAGATTTTATATAGGGAGGGTGTGTCGCAAACAGGAAGCGAAGGGAACGATATTTGGGCGAATGTAACAAATTCTCAAACGTTATTTCGAGAGCAATGAAAGCCCGACGACTAATGTTTTGTTTTTTAGAGAAGATACAAAGGAATGGTCGTAAAACGGGAAGGGCCGCCTTCGACAAAGATCCCGACTGGTTAAACGACACCAATTACAGTATATCGCTTCCGTCGAGAACGTTTCCTCCCATAGAAAACGGAGCGCGCTCACGGAATAACAAGGGACTGGAAAATAATTGCTTCCAGCTATTATTCCCGGCAACGAGCGATCGGCAATTCCTTTCAAGCGTTTCTACAATATTTACACCTCGTTAACATTCGTATTTGCGAGACATGAAAAATCTTACGACGGATAAATAAACCTGATAAAAATCGTAGGTTCGTTTGTTCGTTAAATCACGTTTTTTCCAGTGGAAGAGGACGAGTCACCTTGAACTTAGATAAGCGCCCCTCGATTCGAACCCGACGAATATTTTATTTGACAGACTAAACGCGATTAGTAATCCGTTTATGGCCGCTGCTGACCCTCGCGTAACCCTTTAACTGAGAAATTGGGCCTCTCCAATTAAGGAGAGGGAACCGAGCGACCGCGTTCACCGTTCTGACTTCTCGTTACGCGCGTCACCCGTGACAAGTTCATAAAATACGAACGACGACTTGGTCAAAACGCATCTTCTCGCACCCTCGATACGAAATTAGCGATGTCTCTCGATTATTAATCGCGCGGCACGGTTCATTAATCGCGCGTTCCGCGTAAAAGGGGGACGTCGGCAAATGTATTTGCGTTTCCGAGAAATCTGGGAAACTCGTCTCGTCTCTTTCCAGCCGATTACCCTCGTTACAGTGGTAATCGTTTCCCCGCGATCTGCTCTGTGCAATTCGGATCGACAGTGGAAACAAATTGTCGAGTTCAAAGTTCAACCAGGCTGCGTACTTTTATTCAAACCAATTTCTATCTCTACTCCGATTACTTTAATATCCACTTCATTGTGTCTATTTGAATGATCTTTTGGGACGTTTCAATTCGGTGTAACACGCATTTAAAAGTAAAATACTCGTCACACGTTGTAGATACGTAAATCAGGAATCGAAGGTCGTGGCCCTTATTTGTTACAACCATCTGGCGTACACAAGAGAGATAATTTATCTGTCCTCGTGAATAACTATGGAGATAATAAAGGGACTGTGATATTTTGACCCTTGCACGTGGCTTCCATGAATCTGGCTCCGCCATTTACGTCGCACGGAAACTCATGTTCCACAAATCGTGGAAGGACTTACGACATAAAAATGCAGTACTTTCTTAACATCGAATGTAATTAAACGAAATGGCAGAGAGAGAGAATTTCTCTTTCTTCGAGCCTTAAGAAGGACTGGCTGACGAGCTCGAAACTTTTCTTTTTTCAGTCATGTTCGTAGGCGGTCGAACAAAAGAATGACTGGACTCGCTGAGACTCGTTAAACATGCAAATCTCTCGAGTCAAACCGTTTTACCATTCAGTTACTTTTTATTACGAACAACCGCGAGATATATCGTAATCTGAACTTTCCTTCGAGATACGCCGAGGGAAACAGATACAGGGAGAGATAGAGGAACGTCACTAAAAATAAATAGCCTTTTCCTATCGAGAAGTCCGTATCCCTCGGACCCACACGAGCAAACAAGCTGCTACGGATTTAGCTTATCTACAGGTGAGATCTTCGGAGGACGACTCACCGAATCATCTGGCACCGATTATACTACCAAATTCTCGACGAGGACACGAGAGATACATAGAGCAGGATCACCGGAAAGAGTGGAACCATGGAAAATGTATACGAAAATAAGCGGCTGCCAGCCAGATAAAAATAATAAAGGGGTGGCTGTAAAAATAGGCCCGGGCCTCACCCGTTGCCACGGCAAACGAACCGCGAGTTTCACGCGACATTTACCAACGATCCCTCGAAACTGCACGCAAATTACACAGAGAGAGAGAGAGTGTTACGATCGTAGCGAATCAATCAGCGACACGATTCACTCTGATGTAGCATTGTTTGAGACATTATGCAAATGATTTACGCACGACCAGGACGTGGCATTCGTATCGGCGAACCGACGGGCTTCCGGTTTCGCCGAATAAATCGCAGTTGCCGGACATCGCGTATTGAACAATCAGGTCTCGTTTAGGTAGTTGATAATCTCCAACGACGAGACCCTTCGCCCAGACTAGGCGAATCAACATCTTTTGCCCCGTACCACTTTTTCCCCTTTCACCCCGATTGACCCTCGTTTAATTTTTTAATAGCCGACCGAAATAATAATTCCGCTCGACCGAAGCCTCGTCTCCTGTCAGTCGATTCTACAGAGATCTGTTCTCGCTTTGTCGTTTCGTTAAAAAATTCGCGAAACGTGGAAAGGTGTCGGTTCAATGTTAAAGGAAACCGGAAGTTTTCGTTCGCTGTCACGTCCCATGGAAAGCGTCGAAAGGATGCGCCTCTCGCTTCTACTATATTTCTATCGCTGTACACGCGGGACACGGAGGGAACCGTCTACGACGAAAGAACCGGTGCATCCGGCACCGTGGAACAGTCGATCCGTCGTGTTAAAACAAACTGTGTCGACGACTGATTTCGTATTCCAGCTTTACAACGAGGACCCGTCGCGCTTCCGTCAAGAAGTCGAACGTCAGCTACTTACAGAGCGATAAACCGACGACACCTGTTATTTCGTTCGTGTTTGTGTACAATGTTTTCGTCGCTTCATCTTCCCATGTCTGTATTTTTCATTGATCGCATTTCCTTCGTACAAATCATGATTTAAGGATGTATAAGCTATACATGTACCTAAACAATGCTGGCATGTTGAATTTGTTATTATACATTCTTATTACTATTAAAAAGCTAAAATTATAGTGATTGCACATTTTTCATAGGTAATNTGGAATGGTCGGATTTTGTCAACATCAATAAAATGCCAAATAATCCTATGTAACTCGTTAAATACTCAAATTAGAAGAAAAATACACTATTTTTAATTACCGGAAATGCGTTTTTCTAAGGTACATGAATTTTTGGGGATTGAATATATAGCCAATACATCTCTAAACATTCGACGTTCTCGTATTTCCGTGCGGTTCAATCGTGTTTGATTTCAATTGAAACTTCAATCGGAAGCGTGGACAAACGTTTCTTATGAGAATGTTAATTAATTAATCGCGTAACGAGGCATGTCAATGAGACGACGGAGCAGATAGATCACGATAGATCCAAGATGCCGGTCAATAACCGTGGAATTAAGCATTCCACAGGGCTCTCTGCATGCGCATCTATATAGTATGCCGGTTATATATACTTCCTGGTGTCAGTACGATTTCCGGTCCCGCCCTTGTGCCTACTTCGTTTCCGGAACGCGATCTCCTTCCCTACCGACGATCTCGATAGCCCCTTTCGCACAAAACTCGATTCGTACCGCATTAAGAAAGAAATTTTGATACAAAATGATATCAAAATCCAGCAGCACTGATGTCAAAAGTTATTATTGCTCTCTTTGAATCTCGTCGTCTTAGGTGAAATTAACACTAGCCAGAGCTGGCCATATTATTGTCCCAAGCTGTACAAGTTGAGTCACGTGGAACTGACGACGGATCACGTCTGGCCGTAAATTTTACAATCCGGGTTTCGGGCCGCAGATCGAAAACGCGGACGTCCGACGAGGAATACTAAAGCCGAGAGGCTTCCGGGGACCGACGCGTTTAGCCAAAGATTATCTCCGGCCGATCGAAGATCACCGGATATCCTCCAGGACCGCGACTTCCAATTAGAATTTCAACGACCTTGTCTGGGAATCGCGCGTTCCTCGTACACCAAAGCAATTTTCTATTTTCAATCGAACGAGTCATTTGACTCCGAAGTGAATTTATGAGAGAACGAAAAGTCTCTCGACTCGATCGAATCGATGAAGATAAAACCGAAACGCACTCGAATACGTAACGAAGCTTTTGGACGTGATTCGAACTTGTATGCGGGCTCAAAGCGAAATCTGGTAGCGTGGGAACCCGTGCAGGAATCGATTGGCAAACAACGAACGCTCTATTTTGATCCTCTGCGTTCCCTTCAATCGACCAATTAAGTTCATCAACTTCCAACGAAATAGTTACTATTATAGACAGAAGAAAGCTTTGATTGCACGTGACGACGACGTTCTTTAGACTGCTGACCAGCATGTTGTTTGATCAGACCGACGATTCAAATATAAAAGAATCATTTACGTCGACGTTAAACGATCATTTAATTATCAGACATCAGGTTTGTCTCAAACGATTTATAGAATACGACGACGCTGTTCAATATCGATGATCGAATTTCGTTAATAATTCTTTTTCACCTTTGCTGGAAGAGCTGCGGTGACGCCTGCGTCTGGATTTACTGCTGGACCTTCCCTTCCTCTCCGGATGGACACCGTCGACGGTGTCGACGGGCACGGGTGGAGCCATTACGTCGGGCTCGACGAGAACGTTGGAACATTGCCTCCTAGACGCGTTGTCTTTCCCGAGGAAAGTACCGATCGAGTGCCTCCTTCGACCGGCTGCTGCCGACCCGGGTACCGTGGACGACAGATTGTAGTACCTGAAGAGTACGATCATTCGTTCGATAGAATAATTCTGCGATTTAATTCACGGTCTTGCTTGAATAGAATTAATGACCTAGCGTCGTCGACGCCGACGAAAACCTCGCTGGAGTCTTCGTCGTCGTCGTCTTCGTCGTCGTCGCCGCCGTTCCGATCGTGATTGTCTCTGGCCAAACCGCAGTACACCATGTCGTTGGACAAGAGCTCGCTGGCTGACTTCAACACGGCTCTGCTTCGTGCGGGTCGTCTTCTATCGTTCTCAGAATGCGAATGCGACCTGTTCGGACAAAACACATTTTCAATCTCCGTCACAGGCTCGAATAAAACAACGAAGATTTTGACAACGACCTGTGAGGTAGGTAAGGGGAGGGCGGGGCGACGTCGGAAGGCCTGGGGTCTCCCTTCAAGAACTGCTGCGTCTTCTCCTGATCGGCGTTCGCACTGACGGATCTGAACAGATTCCTGAAGCTCCTTCGTTGGTTGACGGGTCCACCCCCGTTGTTCCTGGGCAACATGGGCACCTTCTCTTCGGTGGGCGTCGAGGGCGTCGAGGCGCCCGACGCGCTGCTCCTGTTGCTCTCCTGCGGCATGTGAGTACTGTTCGTGGACGTCGAGGCCACGCTGGCCGACGAGGTCGTGCCCATCTTGCATGGACGTCGACGGAACAAGGCGCCGAACCCTGTCGGGCCCTTCGAGGGCGGCGAAAAGGCGACGCTCGTCGACGCAGGCGACGATGCTTGCCCGCTCGACAGCGAAAAGTACGACGGGTTGTCTGTGAACATGAACTCAGGCTCATAGAAGCTCTTTCAAGTTCAAGTCCAAGCTCGAGGACGCTTCCTTCGTCGAATTTACTTTATTCTCCGGTCATTTCTCACTCTCAATTTATCGAACGGGGTTTGACTCTGTTCGACGTCAATCGCGATCGAACAGATTGAACATTCTTAACGTTGCACCGAGACGAACGATGTTACGAAATATTTCGTTCGGATGAAAAGCGATTTGACACTATAATCGTTCGTGTTAGTACGCGCGCACTGGATTTTCAATTGTTTGTTTTCTCGAATAATTCTCACTGACGTACGAAAGGGTTGTGAGGAGTAGACGAAGAGGAAGTCCACCTGAGACTGTTGGGTGAGACATAGAGTACGGGTATAGGACGCTATGAACGATTCGAATGGTACTTGAAACGTGGTGGGATGGACCGGACGTGGTGGTCCCCCACCCCGTAAACCAGAAGGGAACGAGCAGGCGACACCGGAAGTCCGTCTGCCCTCCTTAACTCCAGAAACTCATTTTCTCTTTAAATTTCTAATTTCACGTTTCGCCAACGATACTTAAAAAAAACCACAGGCTTGAATTGCAATTAAATTCGCGAGACCTCTTCGATTAATAGACTCTGACGGTCTCTGCGATGTTTTTAATAGTTGGTACTTAGATTTCTTGCACATGTCTCTTCGAGTAACGAGACGAAAATTAGAAATTCTTAAGGGAACGCTGCTACTGCCAGCTACGATTGACCCAGTTGAAAGTTCGAAAACGCTACGTCTTTGAAATCCCTTATAATTCTAGCCAAGTGGCTACAAGTTCCGATAGAATTACTACGTTATAACTTCCTTCCCGTCCCTGTACTTGTTTCGCAATTCCATTTAAAACACGACTTGCCCGAGCCTCTTCTTTTAATTAAAACGGAAATTAACATTGAAATTGAACACGCCAAGACTGTCTCAGGTGGACTGTGCATTTTTATGAAACGCGAGAATAAATTATGGAATCCTCGAAATTTTCTATCAAACGTCCAAGGCATTTTTGTATTTTTCTATGAACGCACGGTCGATATCGACGAGGAGAAATTACAGATTCTCATCAGCTGTCAGAAATAACGTCCCCGGTTCCAGGTAAATCGACTTTTAACATTGGCTCGTACACTCCGGCTTTGCGAAGCCGAGAAAGGGGGAACGGTAGGAAGAAAAAAGCGAATACGCGATAGCGATACGTGATTATGCACGGGACGCGTGACCGGGGTGCGAAAGCGTCCTCGAGAAACGTGACCGCAGATTGGTCCAACGATTCAGCTTACCGACTGCCATGCTGACCCCTTGCACGAGAAACGTTGCACCGGTCCCCTGTGAAAATAATTTCCACTTTAGCTCGCTGGCTTTGTTCGACTTCTTCGCTCCAAGTCTGTCGATCTTCAGATCTGATCGGTTTCTACGAGAAGGCTGAATTCGTTCATTTAGGAATGTCTGTTAAAATTGTTCGAACGAAGAGGAAACGATCGGGCAGCCAGCTGTGTATACGCGAGTTTCATTCATCGCTGAGAATACGCTTGAAAATTATATTTAGCGTGGAGGTCGAGTGACAATCGCGACAGGTTTACGGTGGTGGCAACGGGGTAGATCAGGGCAGATGGTCCATTCACGACGCATTTCTCAACTCGTTTACCCGATCGATTAGAATTGATTTCTCACAGAATTTCTACTATTATTTTATCTGCACGTCGCGTCCTCTTCCATTATTACTTTTTTATACTCCAAGAGTTTTAATGCCACGATGTTTAATTATCTCGAATTCGCTGTAGCAGTAAATTGATAAGTTGTCGAGTGGCGGACCAAGTTTAATTAGACCACGAAGCAGAAGTTACGATCTCGATATCTGCACGCGATCGCGTCGATTCTACGATCTACTCAGGAACTGTAGAGCTCGTTGCAAATTCGGAGGCACGAACTTCCGCCACGACTTCCCGATTCCCTGAACACAGCTCCCATAAATTCCGATTCGTTGCAAAAATAATTGCAAGTCTCATCGCGAGAAAACGAAGATTCTACAACTGACGAGGCATCGAACATTCGTTCCCTTTTCCGGCGAAAAGTCGCTGGTAGAAGTTTTCAGATTTGCATTCGGTGCGCTATTTTTGCTTCAAGGCGAGGAAGAAGTAGTTCGGGTCGAGCTGAACCGCGTTTAACGCTCTCCGCTGGGTGGGCACCTGGCATCGATGAAAAAAGCAACGCATCCGGCGATGCACGTGTCCCGCGAGCATTAACTTTTATGCGAGGTCGTTCCTTTAAATGTGACGCGTCGTTAATTACCGCAGGAGTGCGTAAATTATACCGACTCACGATCAACGAACCGTGGCTCGTCCGCTTCTTCGACTCGGTTCCAAGTGGCCACCGCGTTCTCTTTCGTAAAACTATGAAACTCTAATCCGGACGATTAATTACGATGCACGTGCGTCCGTCGATTTAACGATCCCGATTAAATATCCAACGATTGGCACGTGCTAGGCAAGTTCCGCTTACGCAACACGCGTTTATAGCATCGACGTTTCACGACGTGTACGCTTCGGTCTCCAATACATTTTTCCGATTTGTACTTTGCGTTTGATCAACAGCAACGTTTGTAGAAACGAAATTACTCAGCGACTCTCGACGCGTCTGGTCAGGTTCGACCGTCAGGTTCGATCTATTAATATACACCGCTCGCAGCCTGCCTAATTCCTCATGGAATATTCGTTCTTGGCTTCGACACTTCGTACAGCACGAGGAGGAAACGATCGTGTGCTTCTCACGACTGAGAAAATTCATCGTATTTTGTGGAATAATCGATGAAAGATGAAGCTTCGTCGCAGAACCGAAGCAGACGCGAATCGACGAAGAGAACGTTTGTCTTGCCTGCTGTTTCTGTCACTTCGAACTTGTTCGAGTCATACGTCGTTCTCTCGGCATCCGCGCTGTATCTGATGTCCGCGATCAAGGATTCGAAGAAAGCGTAAAGCTCGTCGGTTCTTCCTTCGGAATGAACGGTGCCATTGTACTCGTGACGAGACCCTTCGATGGCTTTCTTTTTATCGCGCTTAAAGCGGCGTGTGTTCAGACGAGACTCCTACTGGTTTTTTTCAAGATCCACTCGAGCGCACTTGAAAACTGGTGCTACCGCCAATTCGAGGGACAAGACTCGTGTATATTTCGAAGACGGTAACCAATGTTTCCATTCTCCGCGTGGGTCCTCGAACCTATCTTTAGAATCCCATCGACTCCAGTTGGAGATTTCAAACGCAGCAAATTTCCAAGTTCCTTCCAAGTAATTTCAATCGAGTTTCATGCGAAACAAAATCGAGGATCGTTTCATTCGTCGAATAAACAATTTTACGTTAAAACTGATGCATAGAATTTCGGTTCGCCTGACGACGTCTTCGAATCCTCATCGCTCCTTCGGTTGACAATGCGTTGACTCCAGTTTTTTTCTTCCCTGCTGACATTCATGTTCGACGTGTCTCACAGAAATTTTCCTACACACAATTCTTGTCCGAAGCGATCGTCACTAATAAACTAATAATTAATCGTTGCTTGGCACGTGATCGATCACTGGATTTACGTGTGGTTGTCAGAACGGAACTTGGTTCCCAAGTGGATGGAGGACAGAGATTTTCGAGTCGACGGCAGAACACTTCACGGAATACTGACAAGCGAGGGCAGAGGAGCCGATGGCATGCCATGTGACCGTCATTCGTGCTCTCCTTCCTCTTCTCTTCACTGCCACCACCCACGCATCTGGCAGTGGCCAGAAGAAACGCCCAACCGAGCCAGCAAACGTTATTTCGAGATAAACAACGAGCTACAGAAGCGCGCGCGTGCACGCGAACTACGTAAAAGGGTGTATATTCCTCGCGAACCACGTGCTAAATATAATTTACACACCCCGCGAGGTTCGCGCGCTTCAGAACTTTGGTCAAAACAGTTCTCGGAGTCGAGAATTTCACAATTCTTCGTTCGTCCATATTTTTATCATCGACGTCTCGTGACCAACGATTCAAATTAAATGACAGAACGTCGCCTCAATCAATTTGATTTGATGTTCGAAAAAATCGAAAAACGTGTTAGAATTAATATCGCGGTTGGCAAAGAATTCCAAGTAGCCGGTGCGGCGCGTGCACGGTTGCGTGTCTGTCACGCACGTGCGTACGCCAGCAGAGCGGAGCGCGTGTTTCCTCCCTCGGTGCCCCACAAAAAGTATAATTTCAATCCGAATCGATTCGACGACGCGGTGTACGAAAGCCACGCTCGATCGAGAATTCCTATTTATAAATTCCTTCGAACTATTCGTAAATTACTGCGTGTGCGAGGCAGTTCGTCGAAAACAAACGTCGGGTCAGAATGAACGAAACCCAAGTGTAACGAATCGAGTTCTTTTGTTCGAACCAAGGAACAGATGCCGAATTCGAAGAAACTGTCACGTGCCACACATCCGAGCGCTGAGAAATATGCTCTCTGCTGGGTACTGACAATGAGAGAAAGCTCGACAGTTGGCTGGCACGTGTTTCACGCGTTGCCACCATTTCCGGTAGCCTCGTACGCATAGACAAATCTGACCGTTCTTCCATCGAACATCGTCGTTCGATCGAGTTCTCGTTTAATCGTTCCGCCGCCGTCGACGATTGGTACGGCCGCATCTCGTCACGTGATTCCGATCCATGGATCTGGATCGCTCGCGTGGCGAGGTTCGAGGTCGCCAGTGAAAGTCACACAAGTCTCGGAAACCTCCGACGGTCGAGACGCAGTATACGTTTCACGTCTGACGGTACTCCATTTGTCACCAGCGCGACTCTCGCGGTTCATTTCTTAAAAAATACCCAAGAAACTACGTAAGTAGTGAACTTTCTCGCGGGCGTATACTGTGACGCGTTCAGAGTCAGAGATAACGTTCGTACGCTTGATAACTCTGCGAGAAATCGAGTCTGGCATGTTTTCGATCGGTGCACCGATGCGTCGCGAGGTCAGTCGAAAAGTGACGACGATTTTACTCTTTCACGTGAACGTTAATTGCAATTCTCATCGTTTTGTCAGGCATCGCACGTTCTGCGCTAATTCGATCGCTCGTCGTCGTCGTCGTACGAAACTTCTTATCAAGCGTAGAACTATGAACTCTCTATGAGATCTCGACTGGATTTCGCTGGGAGAGCTACCGAATAGAATCTAGAATCTGCTGACGACGTTACGACCGAGATGGAAATTTGACCATGAGGGTGTCCCGAGGACGATAGAATAAAAGACGGAATACTTTGGTGGTTGGAGGGTCGGTGATCGGAAAGGGGTGGCGACGGTAAGTTCAGCTGGTAAACGAGAAATCGGTAGAATGAAAACGTTGATAACGGAACTGCGCAGGAGCTCCGACGAGAGAGAGAGAGAGGGGGCAATCCCTGATCGACTCTCATCACCGTTTCCCAGACTTCGCGGGATTGCGCACACGCGTGGAATTCCCCGGGAATCGGGTCTTTCCGGGTCTCTCGCGTCCTCTCATTTGCTTCATTCGAGCGCGACACGGCAACAGGTGACAGTCGCGCGATCGGCAGGATCGTCTCGAATCTACCAGAACGTTCAACGATTCACGCGCGCTTCGATAATTGCGAAAACGATCGCCGGTTCCACTCATCGGTCTCGCCAAGGAGTAGAAGAGTAAAGTGAACGAGAATGAGCATCGAGGACGCTATCAACTACAAGGCCAGCGAGGAGGAGGATTACTATGCTCTCCTGTCCTGCGACGAATCTGCCACCGTGAGTCTTTTGCAATTTTTATCACCCCTTACGTTCCGAACGAACAAAAAACTCCTCTGCCCCTCGTCGCGATTAAAATCGTTTGTCCGAGTCTCGTCGATCCGTCAATCTCTAAACCCCGTCGCTCTGAATTAGACGAAGAATTATACTTGCTTCTAAACGGGATGATAGCGAACGTGATAAATGCCTGGTTTAATCAAGCGATCGTTGATCACGAGTGAAATTGCGAATTAATCGAACGGACCGATTTAATATGCACTTCCTGAAGTTATGCCGAGTTAATTAGTATCAGTGGCGGTGCCGCGTCACAGGACGATAATTGCATCATGTCCGGGACAACTTTAATTAGCGTTCTGCCCGAACTTCCTAATTACTATCGATCGCGTTCCCGACTGGTTTAACAAAAATACCACCCGATTCAACTCTCTCGAGTACTAGAAATTCTCACGCGAAAGCGAGAGTCGAAATCCGATGACCGAACACATTTATTCTTTTGTTAAGAAGGGCTCGAACGAAGCTAAAGAATGGAGCACGCGTGTTGTTCGACGAACCCGCCCTGACCCCACGTTCGAGCCTGTTTCACGCGATATAATCGAAAGATAAACGAAGGGACGTCTCGATCGATCTCCGTTAATGGAGACGACTGATATTTGCCAGGCAATTTAACGGATTCGGCTAATGGGAGTAGGGTTCCTTAATGGAACCTGTTCGTCGCAAATAGACGATCGCTCATTAACCGTCCAAGTTTTATTCGAGAGGTCGCCGTATTATTTTTAGTGGGGAAAACAACGTCGAACGCTGACATAATTCCTCGGCTAGGCACGCTCACTGATTGATTAATCACGAGGCAAAGGCTGGTCGCGACCTCGTTGCAAACAGGTTCTGTACTTGCTCGACTATTATAAAAATTATCACTGATAACCACGTGAAAAGATCGTCTTGGGTCGTCGGATACGTCGCTCCACTCCCATTGATCGATACGGGGAAATTCATTCGAAACTGACCATCGAAAGAACTATAATAATAATTAACTTTAGAATAAACGGGGGGAAATAAACAAGATCTGACGAGACTGCACGATTCACGTCGCTCGTTAAGTAGACTTTGAGGAGAGAAACTGTGACGATTCGCTGGAACAGCATCCGAAGCTGACGCTAGTATAAACTTTAAAGGGTGTGTAGTGAACCATCCCCCTTAGGTGTTTTAAAGCCACCCCACACGTCGGTTGTCTAAAGGTCACGTTGCCTACAACGTTCGCACACGATCTCTCTCTCTCCTTTCCGAATTTTTCTACCGATTTCCAGGTGGAGCAGATCACGGCCGAGTACAGAGTGCTCGCGCTTCAGTACCACCCGGACAAGAACGAAGGCGACAAGGAGGCAGAACGAAAATTCCAGCAACTCAAGGTCTCATTTTCGATTTACGTTCATTCGATCACGAATCACTCGTTTTGCACGTTTTTCCATCGTCTCTTTGACGGCGAACGACGACGTCCGTCGGAGCGAAGGTAACGCGACTCGTTTTTGTCACAGCACGCGAAAGAGGTCCTCTGCGACCCCGAGAAGAGGAATAACTACGACAAATGGAGACACAGTGGCATCGCCATCAGCTACAAGCAGTGGGTCGGCATGAAGGATCAGGTGCACCAGGTAAGATCGAAATTAATTCTCTTCACGAATCTATGCTATTCTTCGAATGAATCGAAACTTAAATCTACGCGCGTTTGATCAAAAATTCCGATGGCATACTTTTGTTTTTGAACAATTTTCTGCGCGATGAAATGTTTAATCGGGAATGGATGACAGTCGATGCACTGGAGCACGCCGAAGACGAAGGACCGGATGCTGCCGGAGTCCGAGGGTGCGACCAGTTCCCCGGGGAAGGTGCAAGCACCCAACGCTCACAGGAGAGCCTCGGAGGGAGGCGCAAATATTTATTACGGAGCGCGTCGCGACGTCGGATGGAATTCTGAAC